GCTAGACTGTAAGGCGGTGTAGCAAACTAAAAACAGGAACATGTCTGCATTGGTTTTTGCCAGGAACTTAGCAGATGTTTAAAGCCACTTAGAGGTCAAGGTCGAGAGCTTCAGCTCTTTTTGCAAGATATTCCAGGAAACAGGAGCAGAGTAGGAGAAGGCCCTTTTGCCAAGTTCAGTTCTCACCGAGGGAACACTGCATGCAATAATGTCCTGAGAGCGCACGCTGTAACTGCACTCACGCAGAGACATGTAGGAGGAGAATTATTAAGGCAGCAGACCAAGAAGTGATTTAAAGATGAAAATGTACCAGTGAGAGAGGCCACGTGAAGACTATATGATTTGTTGAAATAACACAAAAATTGTGGAACGAGAAAGATGTACGGAAGAAAAATGGATCACAATAGAGTGAATGCTTCATGAGCGTTCACACTATTCCAGAAGCCAGGAATCGTCCAGCGTGCGCAGCCACATCTGAGAGCACCACCCTGCCTCTTCCTGCACTGATAACGCATGCAGAGACAGTGAGCAGGGTGGAGCAGCCGTGGGCTCGGAGTGAGGATGTGAGTGTGTGTGTGTGTGCGTGTGTGTGTGTGTGTGTGACTGGAACATGTGAGGGTAAAATGGCAGCTCCTTGACTTTTCCTTTCGCACACCCTTCAGACGGCCTCCATCAGAGGAAGCTGCTCCCGCAGTGTCAATTCAGCTCCAAGAGAAAGACAAACACTCGAAATGTCAACGCCAGCAAAAAATACAAGTTCTATTTTTTGATAAATGTCTCACAAGGGAGAAAAAAATGGTGCTCTTTAGATAATCTTGGACTATTTGGATTCATTTTTACCACCCGCCGCGAAGGCAAAGCAATAACGATTTGTGAGCTTCGTTTGTACCGTTAGCAAAATATCTCACGAATCACCCGACAGATTTTAATAAAACTTCCAGAAATAAATGATCGGGTTGACAACTACAATTGGTCCGCCCAATTCAAGATGGCTGCCATTTCTATGTCATTTCAGCAAATACATAAACGTCTTTAACTCAGACTATTTTACAAAAAAAGAACAGTTTTTAATTTGATGCAGTAGTAGCTGAGATTAATTCCCAACGTACTAACTAATCACACAAGATCCATTTTTTAAACTTTGACATTAGGGATTCAAGGTTCTTTATTTGTCATTCGCACCACATGTGGTGCATGTGGTGGAATGAAATTGTGTACACAGGACCCCAGTTACATCCAACAAAAGTATAAAATGTCAAAGAAAAACAGTATTAAGATCTAAGATATGAACTAAGAAAAACGTTAACTAAAAACACATTAAGCTCTAGTAGTACAAAAACAATATGCCAAACTTCAGAGTGATAATCCTGATTAGAGATTCATGAGTCTAACAGCCTCAGGGTAGAAGCTGTTCCTCAGTCTAGTGGTTCTACACTTAATGCTCCTCAACCTCCTGCGTGAGGGGAGCGGGACAAACAGTGTGTGTGCTGTGTGAGTGGGGTCCTTCATGATGCAGGTGGCCCTCTTCCTGAATCTGGAGGTGTAGATGTCTGTGATGGTGGGGAGGTTGACTCCCAACAGACTTCTGTGCAGCCTTCACCACTCTCTGCAAAGCTTTTCTTTCTGCAGCTGTGCAGCCTCCATGCCACACGTTGATGCTGGAGCACAGGATGCTCTCCACTGCACACCTGTACAAGGAGGTGAGGACTGAGCTTCCCAGTCCAGCTCCCCTCAGCCATCTGAGAAAGTAGTCTTTGATGAGCTTTCTTGATTAACTACAGGAATCAACTCTGTCTGTTAGCAAAATATCTCACCACTGGATGGGTTTTAATGAAACTGTCTGAACGTACTCCACGGATGTAGCTCTAAAACTGATTAAATTTGGAAGTCAACCCGATTAAAAAGCTAATGGACAAAAATGGCTACAACTTGTAAAAGCTATAGACTGAGCTAAAATTTAGTGTGGTAGTAGCCGAGAGTCATTCACAACACGTACACTGAGCGCTAACAGATCGTGCTACATTAGATTGTGCCTAACGTTTTTGTCTTAATAACTCTGTCTTTTTTCTGCTTAAAGACAATTTTAGTCTGAAACTCCTGCATGAAAGGTGGTCGGTGGCACGCAGTTTTGGTCTCTGACATCTGAAGATGGAAAATCTCACAGGTACAGTTGGATCAGCAGTCCAAGTGAAAACATTTGCTCAGAACAAAGCAGGGAACGCTCAGCCAAGCAGGAAAGATCTCGTTTTCTTGTACCGTAGCTGAAGCAGGAAACAAATCCATTCACCCGGCCATGTACTCCCATCCTGAAATAGGGGAGTGAAATGCCAAAAAGAGGCAGAGGGGGAGGAGGTACCAAAATAAAAACTAGTAATAATGACTTTATTTCCATCTCCAGCTCACAGATGTTTGCTTCCTTCCTTTCCCTTTCATGCCAGATGGAATTTTTTTTTTCTCTTTCTGCCGCACGCCTTTGAAGAGAAACACTGCGGAGCGGCTGATTGGAGATATAAAAGTGTTTGTTGCTTTTTTTTTTTTTTTTTTTGATTGAGCCATTCCCTGCGTTTGTTAGGAGGGCTGAGATCTCTCATCTGTGTCGTCTGAGCCAGACTCGAGCCTTCCTCCGTGTTTACCGTAAGGACAGGAAGATGCAGCCTTTTTTTTTTTTTAAACGTCCCTCCCCACAACATCCTGGGATCATCTTGGACGCTTCCCCGGCAAGGATGCCTTTCCACGACCCGCACGGAACTCCGTGACCTGAGCAAGAAGAGAATCCACATTTGTAATGACTTCAGTAGACGCTTAGTTCTTATTATTTATCAAAACCATTAAAGCACAATAAAACTGCACAACTGAGATGAACCATAGAAAGCTGGATGAAGCCCTCGTGCGTTCCAGGAAGCTAGTGATAGTGCAACGACACACGCTGACCTTTGACCTCCCATTAATTTACGCTTTCCTGCATGATTACAGATGTCACACGCTTGAGACAAAGTATCAGTTGTTTTGGTGCTCCTCGTTTCGCACCAGGTTTCACGAGTCTCCCAGCCATTGTTTGGATGTGGATAAAAATAATAACTTGACACTTTGGCTGAGGGGTGTTCCCAGTGGAGAGGTCTTGGGGGTTCACCGGGGTATCAGGTGGGGGTCAGGCTGGCTCCCCGAACACAGGAAGGCAACACTGTAAGTCATGGTCAGGGGTGGGGCGTGTGCGTCTTCAACTCTTGTCTAATAACATTAGCAGAGTGGAACGCCGATGGGCGGGAAGAGTAAAGAAAAGGAAGGTTGTGTAAGGTCCAAGTACAATGTCAACATTTTAGATCCATCATTTATTCCCAAATTATCCGTGCTGCTGATCCTTGACTTATCTGCGCTACTGATTATCCATGCTGCTGATCTCTTGTCTCTAAACTGCTGTATTCATACCCATCTGCTCACGACTCATGTTCAAGCTGCTGTTTAATACATTAGTATTGTTCAGCATATATCGTAGTTGCTTATATACTCTCTTTTTTTTACTTTTTATCTTTGCTATTTTGGGGTGTAACTGGGACCTTGAGTACACAATTTTGTTCCACCTCATGTACCACATGTGATGCGAATGGCAATAAAGAACCTTGAACCAAAAGGGAATCTCAATCCTTGAAGGGATACTTAAGGCCTGCTGCTTTGCATGGCGACGTTTTAAACAAGATTCGTTCACTCTGTTAGTGCTCAGAGTATGGGTTGGGGATGACTCTCAGCTACTACCACAGCTAATTTTAGCTCATTATGTGTAGAAATGACTCAAGCAGAGCCACTTTTGTGTTCAATGTCCACTAGCTGTATGTGGCCATCTTGAAAACCGGTTGACCCCCACAAGTTAATCAGTTCTCAGTGTACATGTCAATATTACTGTCTGAGAGTTTCATTAAAAATCATCTGATGGTTCATGAGATATTTTGCTAACAGACCGTCTAGGCTGACAGCAACAGTTAATGCCCCCAATTCTGGAAAAAAATTAAATAAAAATGTTGCGCTCAAAGTATGAGTTGGAGACAAAACTCAGCGACTAAACAAATTTTAGCTCTGAGTTGTAAAACTGACTGAGTTAAAGCCATTTTTGTGATTGCTAAGCCTAATTAGCCCTGGCGGCCATCTTGAACAGGGGGCTGACTCTAAATGTTTATCATTTGTAGAAGTACATCCAGTCATTACTTTCTGGGAGTTGTATATAAATCCGCACAGTGGTTCGTGAGATATTTTGCTAACAGACAGACAGAGGATCGCGCACATATAGACACTGGGTATAACATGAATGTCCGCACAAACTGTGGTGATTTGGGCACTTTGTGTGCGCGTGTGTGAGTCAGCATCATGTGTATGGCTGAATTGGAGGCGTGTGCTGCGGCGCAAAGGAAGGGAGGGCATCATGTCCGGACGCTAATAAGACCCGATGGCTGGCGCAAGGTGGCCAGGAGCGCAGAGCGCGGCAGCGGGGAAAGGTGGATGAAGGAGAAGAAGAGGAGGTTTATCTGGATGGACAGAGAGAAAGAAAAGAGCGGACAGAAGAATCAGCTTCCACGCGCTCAGGGAGCCGTCTGGCTGCAGGTGTGCGTCACTTTGAACCGGAAACTGCGCGGAGAGCGACCTTTAAACGCACCTGCGTGAAGACACGAGGGGATGACGTTCAGCTCGCAGCAGGGCCACAAGGTTAAACCTCTCAGAGACTTCCAAAAGTGCTCTTATTTTTGTTTCACTTTTTAAACTTTAATACCAAACTTCAGAAAGTATTCTTCTTTTGGACTAGTTCAGGCTCACTTCCATCACAAACAGTAACAACAACAAACAAAGACAATAAAAACACTTTTTTTTTATTATTATCAAATAATGCTCAATACATAGCATTGTATATTTATTATACAAGTAGACTAGTCTTCCATGATTTGGAATGGACCAAGATCTGAGCCTCATCCAGTTGCTGTCACCTGCCTGACCCCTGGGAGCCCCAACCCTCCTCAATGAAGCGGTTCTGGTGGGCCCAGCTTGGCCTGCTCGCTGTGTGTACCTGCGCCTGGCCGGTCCAGGGATGTGGGCCAGGTCCTGGGTATGGCATGCGTTCCAGGACCAGGAAACTCACGGCTATGCACTACAAGCAGTTCTCCCCCAACTTCTCAGAAAACAACATTGGGGCGAGTGGAAGAGCGGAGGGCAAGATCACGCGCAACTCTGAGCGCTTCAACCAGCTGGTGTGCAACTACAATCCGGATATTGTCTTCAAGGATGAGGAGAACACCGGCGCGGACCGCTTCATGACCAAGGTGAGACTAACTCCAGAGGTGCCTGGTTACGGCTGCACAGCAGGAAAAAACAAGAGAAAACCTGCACAAAAGTTCACTTCAGCAGGTCGACTAATAGATGCTTTGACAGGTGCATCCTCTCTGCACCTGTATGATCTATCCCTTACAGGAAGGGGCCAAAGGCAGCGTACAGCTCAGCCACTTTATATCACCTTGAGATCAAACCATATTATCGCATGCATTGTTTGCCGAAGCCTCAGCCACCTGCTTTTGGCAGGTTCCTAACAGAAACGCAGGTTTGAACCAGACTTTCCCCTCCTTTTCTGTAGAGAAAAGAAGATCAGGATGTCATTTAACATCACCTCTTGAAGAGTTTCCTACAGGACGACGTCTTAATTCTTAACTTTTTTAGTAGATATGAAATGATCAGCATAGGTGCAGCATCTTCTGTTAAGGGATAAATGTCAAAATTCACAGTAAAAGGTAACAAGACTGACATTTCTAAAGCCCCTCCATTGAGCACGTGGATACTCTGTGATCGTTATGAATGTAAATCTGTGTTCCTTCCCTTCCTATACAGTGATTGTATGTAACAAAAATCTGTAACTGTATATATGTACCCTCCTGGTACCCAATTTGAATGTGTGTATGTGTCCTTTTAATTTTGCCTACACGTGAAAGACGCTCTTTGTGCATCGTTTAGTAACTCAGAGGGGTCGCCTATACAAAATTCCCGCCTGCTGAAGTAATGGCACCGTCGGAAAAGCGACTATTGTAGTTGTGACAATGAAACGCCTCTCCTCGACGGCATTGAGGGAGAAATGCACCCAGTTTGTTTTCTGCCCCTCACTCTTTAGCTGTTACATTCCCAACTCTGTGCCCATACATTCTTCCCCTCTGGCCTTGACCCTCTTGCACCATTCTCACCAAACTTCTGCTCGCACTCTCGTCTTTTGCCGCTCGATACAAGATCTGTCTTAAAAGATTAATTTTAGGCCATGAGACTTGCTCCCTCCCAAGCCATAAGTGAATACAAGACATGACAATGAGTGTATCACCTCAGATGCTGGCGTCATCTTTTTTTTTTTTCTTTCTTCCCCCCCTCCCAGTCGTCTATTTTGTGACAATGCTGATACAGTCTGCAACATTATGGGCCCACGGGGGTGTTAAAAGTCACTGCGCACGTATTTGATCAAATGTCTCAGGGGTGAAAGTGTGTAACTCAAGTCTGGAACAAGCTGGAAAGTCAGAGAATGGCCTTGATTATTCTGTCACCCTGTGGAAAAGGCCAAAGAATGCCAAACTGGCTACAGTAGGTTGCACTCTGATTGTTTGCGGAAATCTGAGATGGTCTTTAACAAAGTTGTCCAAAAGAAGATCTCTAAAGACAATACTGAAGCGTTTTGTATTTTTCCTCCGCTGATACGTAGCAAAATTGTTCAGTGCACGTAGGTGTAGACTCCTGAACATAACCATTGTTGTGCTAGTGACACTGTTGCTGTTAATTCATTCAACTTCTATTTATACAGGTGAGTCTCATTGAGCCTCGGGGACCCACGTTAGACAGCCATTATTTTAAGAAAATGAAATATGCCTTAAAAACACATCAGTATGTTCATTCATAGTCACAGAAGAGCTTCCATCACTTTTGTATTATTGAATCTGAGTAGGGTTTATTTTAATCGGTAGCATCAAGATAAATACGCCTTTCATCTCCAACCTCATGCTGACGTGAAAAAAGTGAATCTTTCTCAAGCTTTCTGGCAATCAGATTGTTGTTTGAACTCGAGGTTTATGTGCAGTCAAAATGTTAGAAATTGCCCTAACCCGTCTTTCTTTCTGCAGCGATGCAAGGACTGTCTGAACCGGTTGGCCATTGCAGTGATGAACCAGTGGCCAGGGGTGCACTTGCGTGTGACGGAGGCCTGGGATGAAGATGGCCACCACCCTCCAGGCTCTCTGCACTACGAAGGCCGGGCTGTGGATATAACCACTGACGACAGGGAGACAGAAAAGTACGGGCTTTTGGCTCAGCTGGCTGTGGAAGCAGGATTTGACTGGGTCTACTATGAGTCCAAGCATCACGTACACTGCTCCGTAAAATCAGGTCTGCGTTTCAGAGAGATTTTCTGCTTCTGTGCTAAAAGTGTAAACAAATATAATTCCGATGAGCCCTGCATGACATTTTGTCCTTTTTTCCCCCCCCCTGGCAACTTCTTGTAGATAAGTCTGAAGCTGTGGAGAGAGGTGGTTGCTTCCCAGGCTGTGCCCGGGTGACTCTTGCCGGAGGGATGCAGAAGAGTCTGTCTTCACTGGCCCCTGGTGACAGGGTCATGGCCCTGTCTGAAACAGGCCACATTGTGTACAGCCAAGTTCTCTTGTTTCTGCACCGGGACAAAAAAAGCAGGTCTACCTTCCTGTCTCTGGAGACAGAAGACGAACAGAGATTAGTCCTAACTCTTCATCACTTGGTCTTTTTGGTCCCTGACTGCAGGCATGATGAGAGTGGGTACCAGGCTCAGTTTGCAAGCAGAGCAAAAACCGGAGACTGTGTCCTCATCAGTACTGAAGGTGGTCAAATGAGGCCTTCGCGAATCGCATCAGTTTCCGTTACGGACAGCATGGGAGTGTATGCGCCCTTGACAGAAGCTGGAACTCTGTTTGTTGACGGGGTTCTGGTCTCCAGCTATGCTCTGATGGAGGACCACAGACTTGCACACTGGGCTTTTGGACCTTTGCGACTTCTCTACTCTCTAAACTGGCTACTCTGGGGGGAGACGACGACAGAAGAGCAGACCACTGACTGTAAAAAAGCTTGCACTAAGACTGCCACAGGCTTTAGCACTTTGACCATGAAAGACAAAGCAGATATTTATGAAAATAATTACATTCTGAACAAGCAGGACAATCTTAGTGAACCTCTAGTGATGACAATCCAAGAGAAGCAATCCCTGCAGAGACACACAGATATCCACTGGTATGCTAGATTACTCTACAGAGTTGCATGCATCGTTTTAGACTTCGATTTAATAAATCCTTAAACAAAAACTACAAATAATATATACAAGATACTGAATAATAATTAAAAATAAAAAAAAACACTGAAAATGATAATCTACTGTAAAGTTATTGTCAGTCTGTAAGAATCATATAACAAACAATTCATCTGTGCAGGTTGATGCCGAAATAAATGTAGTTTAGACGATTTGCACATCGTCTTTTTTTTTTTTTTTGCTTAAAAGTATAAAAGTCTAATAGATCAGGAATGTATTCCCCGTACAACAGAACTTTTATTTTTGTACTTTCTGAATCATAATATATAAAGGTTGCATTTATTATAATTCCACTACTTGTTTTATATGTTCTATCACAAAACAAATAAAAATGTATTTTTTATGAAACCGTTTTCTTTTCTTTATGGTGCAAATTGTACCGTTTAGGTTCCGTCAGTCGAGCCTCATGTACGTAGCAGTCACGCAGCCTCCGTGTGGAAATCTAACGGGTTAACGAGACGCTCTGACATACTTAATATTCTTTCTGTTCCACAGTTTTGACTTTTAGCAAACCTTTTCACCTCGACGGCTGCTTTGAAGTTTTCCAGAACATTAGATACTTTAATCTGGACAAATTCCTCCAGTTTGTGCCTGAAATAATACAAATGTTTACTATGTTGCACACTGTTTTTTTTATCTTCTTTACATCTCATTTGGGCATCAAAGGCATTTTATTAAATATAAATGTTACTAAGACATACTATATTCTCCAAAGGTTCTTGATTCTAAGCAGTATGAGTTCATACACCCCCTTGTGGAGGGATTATTAACGTGTGAATTTTCACCTGTGCACAAAAATTTCCCACAAACTAGACATCTTTAATTATTAAAATCTAATTTAACCAACACTGATTTATTTTACAACCGTTTGCAAAGCAAGTCATGAATGTGAAAGAAAATGGCATCAATGATGAAAAATCGGATTAACAAAACTCAGCCCTGAAAGCCTTCAATGCCATTTTATGAGCCTTTAATGTAGCACTGTTAAAGAGAAACAAAAGGACCCTGAAAACCAAAAATATATATACTCCTCTTTCAGTTTATGTTCTGTTGTAAACATCTGTGAAGGTATTCCAGGGGATTATCCTTGAAAGGCAGGAGACAGATGGGAAAGCAGTCACTTCGCCGCCTGGCCAATAGGAGGAGGCCGGCATCCTAACCTCAGCCTCTATTTACATCCACCGACCAATCAGCTGCTGCCGTCTCAACAGACTCAGCCCCCTGCAATCTAATCCAATTTTCCTAAAGCTGAATGGGGAGTTAAGTAATCCTGTCAGTGGGACCAGTAATACTCTATTTTCAAAATGAAAACATGCTCACCTCACATTCAAGTAAAGAGAAACAGACTTAGCTGACCACACACAAAACCACTACTGATTGAACCACCAGTACAAACAATCCACTGTGCTAACATGACATTTATATATATATATATATATATATATATACATACATATATATATATACATACATATGAACCATCCATAAAGGAAATGTAGACCCCTTTTTGTGTTTCGACTTCACAAGGAGCAGCTGTCAACCGTTCAGTTATTACCTCAACCAGTGAGGTTTTGTGGTTTCTTAGCAGAATCGTTCAGTTATGGAGACATTTGCATGGATTGCGATTCATTTCTCTCATTCAGTCTCACAGTTTTCAAACCACTCTCAGCTATTATGCAGAGAATGACTAATTTTGTTGTCTGAGTTCTACAGACCCCACCTCACCCACTTATATGAAGTTGTATTGTGCAGGTAACAAATCTTCCAACGCCTCATTCCAGGCCGGAGGGAATCCTTTCCAGTAAGTTCTGGGTTTTCTTAAATGTGTGACCAGAAATGCAATCTTCCCGATGTATTAGACTACGCCTGATTTGAATCTATGGTTGATTAACAGGGTTTTGCAGAATATGATGAGGTAATTCAACCTTTGAATCAGGTGTGTTGGGAGTAGGGAAACAGCAGGATAGTGACCCTGTAGAACCAGGATCGAACACTGTTGCATTTAATAGAAATGTTGGTTGCACAGTCAGCGTTTTATAGAAAAATAATTGTTTTTGTTTTATTGCAACCACAAGCTTTTATTTCAAAATTAGAAGATGGCCACTAAAAATCTTGGTTGAGTTTGCATAACTGAAGATAATCAAGATTCTACATGTCCTTTGTAAAGTTTTTATTGCAAGGTTGAATACAGTTCACCCCCCAGAAACAGTTCATTATTCATGTCCTTAAAGGACTCTGTCTGTTACACCATGTGCTCATCAACTGGGGATAAACTTGAAGCAAAATAGCATCAAAATTAACACATTTGACCACAGGCTCTTTAATTCTTCTCTGGGCCAGGGACAGATGTGGTTGATTAAAATTGTAAACTTCTCACCACAACACTGAAGTTACCCAAACTCTTATCTTGAAGGTTTGCAGGATCCACCAACAATTCAATGTTTTCACTGTGAGACCACGAAAAGTGGAGGTGCATGCAATCAAATAAAAATCCTTTTTGATTTTAAAACATGCCGTTTCTGGAAAGTCTTTATACCTTTATCTGCGCAACGTTGCTTTTAGAAAAACTTTTTACTTGGAATGAAAAATTTAGTGTGCCACATATAGCAGCTTCAGTCATATTATTTGAGCAAGTCAAGTGTTTTCCATTCCCTCAGCAAGTAACAAACCAGTCCCCACTGTCTGTGACCGTACATCTTTTATACCTGATTTGCAAAAAAGACCATAAATTACACAAGCAACTAGATTAGTCTGTGGTGTCCTGTAAAAAAGGGAAATATCTAAAATGAGTTGCACAGGGTTAGATGCATGAGCAACTCATTACTTGGTACTACTGTTTATTAGTCATCCCAATTTAACCTAAATTAAATAAATATATTAGTTTGGCAACGAGTGACCTAAATGCACATTAAAATACCTCAAAATGAGCTAACTGGTTTATTGTTTGGTGAGGCAAATGAAATGCTTAAGTTCATTTCAACCTATATTTGTGTAATTACAATGAATACAGCCGGGGCTGAAAACAGAGGCGGGCACATGGACCATAAATTATGATAAATGGCACCAGGATTGTAATACTGTTTTACAAAACGATGTTACACGTAGAATTAATGAACTTCGTTGAAATCAAGCGTGTTGTTTTATCATGAAACGCCTCAACCACTCACCAGCAGGCATGTCGGCGCAGCTCTTATCGCACAAACATAACACTCTGGTGAAAAATGGCTTCCCGGGATTCGACAATCTAATGACCTAATATCTAAATAGCCACCATATTTTAGTGATTGCGCTTACCTAAATAAAACCCAGTGCGCTAAATGAGTTGACCGCTAAGAAGATTACTCATTGTTAAGTTTGGAGCTGCAACGCATTTGCAAATATGCACCGATAAAACAGAATTTGTGCTCGTTCGTTTGCATTAAATACTTTTTTTTTGACGTAGTTCTTACCGAGCATGCTAGCTAGCAGCGGTTAGCTGCTTAGCGGAACAGCCGTGTGGGAACGAAACGAAGTAGATGCTAGTGACCCATACAAGGGTACCCATAAAAAGTTAAGATTAAAAAAAGAAATACCCAGATGAAAGTCTGCTGTCGGCCGAAAGCTACAAGGAAAGGATAAATTCTGACGCGTCAACAAAGTTTAATGCGGCCGTTTCCGGAAACTATTTCATGCAAACTTGAAGCTCGAGCGAGATTCCAGAGCATAGCTAAAGCTAGCTAATGTTAGCCTTAGAGCTAAAATCGAGGAGCCACTGCGTGAAGCCCCGGGAAACATTTTTTTTTTGGACCGGACGAAGACTTGTGCTTGGGCCTATTAGGTCCCCGACTGTTTATGACAACTCGATACAAAGCTCCAGCTGCTACTTAATTTGGTAACATCATTCTACATCTGGTTTAGCCAACACAGCCTGCCTTCCGCCGACTTGCACTTCCCCCACTCTCAGCGCAGCAACCGGCTAGTCCCGACACATAAAATGAAGCAACCCTCAGCGTTTCTGGACGCTGTGTGGCTCAGTGGATTTTGCTGATGCAGGAGACTACATTGTTTTCATAAGGTGAGTAGTTTAAATTTAACTTGATTTTTTTTACACCTTGCAAACATACACACCTAAAGGCACTGACCTTAGACCGGTGTTAGCTCTGCTAAATGTAGCAATTAGCTGCAAGCCCGGACCGTTTGTATACATCTAATTGCTGGAAAGCTAGTTCTGTCATCTAGATGCTCACTTTTAGTAGTTCTACACTGGTTGTATCCACATTTTGATGTTCATATAACGCAGCTGATGCGTTTCTAAAGTAAATGTGCTTGTGAGTAATGCAGTTTTACATAGTCTGGTCTCTTAAGGGTACTTTGTTGCTTCGTCACCATTGGCAGTTAGTAGCTTTTCAGTATCCATTTGTCACCAGTGACATGGACGTGTCTATTTGCTGGGTAATACTAACCCTTTAAAGTCGCTGTCTACGTTGAGAAATGGTGCGCGGTGCTGTACTTATTCTGTTATTACAAGATTTTGGTAGCTTTTAGCGTGGTGCTGAAAAACATCATGGTGACTCTTTATTAACATTACAACAACCAGTGAATTTGCCACACTGACGAGATGGACATTGTGTCATTACTTTCGCTTCGAGCAACTTTAGAGTCAAGCATATTTAGTAGTAGTTGGGTTCGGAGAGCCTGGATTTGACATTGGTAATTTAGCTGAGAAATGCGTTTCAGTATTCTTGTCCCGGAAAACAAAAATAACACTAAAAACAATCGTGTTCAAAGGCTTTCAGCACTCGTACAATTAGCTAATCTAGTCATTGCTGAGTCTTAATTGTGGAAGTTGTGGATGTAGGATCAGAACATAGCTTTGCAAAAGCTAAAAGCACATCTGATTTTCAGTTTGTGTGTAATCAAGGTCTTCACTGCGACTTCGGTTGAGAACTAGCTACTATTGTATTTTGTGCAGCTGCACTCAAAAATCCCTTACACCATTGTTCTTTATTACATTGTATTTACTGTTGAGCGAATGATTCCTAATTTAAATACAATTTACTGGCTCGTCACCGTTTGTCTGTTTTATTGTCTCAGCAAATTTAATAATGTTTACTTTATTTACACCGTGCATCATAAAAAAAAACTATGTTGATAATTGTATTTGATGCTGCAAAAAGCACAAAGGTCTAGATTTGCATCCATTCGCCTCTAAGAAACTTAAAATGAATTGTTACAAAATATGCATATAATAAAAATGAGTCTTTTTTTTTTATTCTACGACGTAATAATTGTTTTGTAATCCGTCATAAAACGGTCACCTTTGAGTTTGCGTTTTAAAAAACTATATACTCCACTGGACTGCATAACTCGATGATTGTACTCGCTTTTTTTCCTCTTTTTACTTTTGTAACATCCATTGTTGTGGATAAAATCAAGCCGGCGTTCATTGTTTGTGTGACAGCGGTTTGTAAAAGGCGTGAAATCTCACCGCGGAACTAAGTTGCGAATGACGAGCTTCTACACGGAAGGAGTCCTGCTGCAACAGGAAGCTCTACTTACGGAAGTTGTATTTTCTTTGTGTACCCCGATTTCTGCTTGTTTTATTCATCAAAACGCAGTTTTTAGCTCTACCATCCTGTGATTTTTTGCTCACGGCGGTCTTCATCGTCTTGGATTATGCATCGCTCGGTGAATAAGTTGAATTGTTACAGATATTTTTCCGATAGATCTCTCGCAATGTAACCTTCGCGCTATTTTTTGTGAGTTTGCGTAAAATGTCGTTTGCATTGATAAATACAAACGTGTTCCGATCAACGCAAGAAAATAATGCAGGTCCAACCTGAAGCCATCACAATGTATCGACTCTACCACTGCTTTGTTGTTTAGGTTTAAAGCACTTTTGGCTCGATGGGGGTGTTTGTATTGTTTGCAGATGGAAGATGCGTTAAAGAGGTTATTTTTTTATTATGAAAAACAGTCATTCATAATTTATTGATCTTATAGTAAACGAGTCCTTTTTGTATCTAAAGGTTGAACCTGGATACTAACCAACTGTGTATTTATAAGAAAATCATAAGTCTTGAGATTTTTGTTGTATTTTAGGACCTTTTTTTTCTCGGTCGTACAGTGATCATAAGTGGCTTATTGACATTAGCCAATTTCCAAAGAACTCACTCAGATTGGTTGTATCTAGTAAGCAGTGTTGATGAACAATCATTTGATTGACAGAAAGTTGAAGCTGTGCATGTTTTTAAATCGTAGATCTCTGTAAAAGAGGTCAAAATCAGAGTGGGGAATGGACGAGCAGAAATCAAACTGCGAAGAGAATGACTCTGAACCAACAGGTATTATTTTATGCATGTTTTGTACATTGTTTTTTAAAACCTAAGCTAAAAGGTTTTGATGTTTCATATGATGTATAGACAGTACACCAAATGTTTGAATTTCCTTTTTTTTCCACTGTTGGTTAGCTGATGACAGTGCCTCTGCAAATCGGCCAGTTTCTCCAAAGGAGTCGTCCAAGGCATCTCTTGCTGTAGAGGATGAGTCTGGTGTTACTGCAGCTTCTTCATCATCTATGTATGCTATTTATTCACATAAAAAAAAAACAGATATTCTTGTCCCCCCCCCTTCATGTTTCTGTTAATAAATCAAACCTCTCATTTTACGTTTTTATTTGTGTGTGTGTGCACTTGAACAGAGAGAGTGCTTGTGCCTGTGCACTCTGTAATTGTGTGGAACGAAGTTTGCATGGACAGAGGGAACTGCGGCACTTTAGGTCGTCTTCTCAGCGGCCTCCTCTCAAGCCATCATCTTTCCCACTGCCAGAGCCTGGAAATGATGACCTGTCTTCCATTGGATTTTCTGACTCTTCTTGTCTTTCTGCACTCTTTGATGACTCAGGTTGAACTTAGAATGTGTTACTATATTTTGTGTGTTAAAATGAAATATGATCTTATTATCATTATAATCAAATTATTTTATTCAAGTAGTAACCATGTGGATATTTGCTGTGTTTGTTTTTTTGGCATTATGTTAATGTTTGGCTTTATAATGAATAGGGGGTTGTTGGGTTCACCACTGGTGTGCAGTATGGTCAGAAGAGGTAAAGGGAACAGAGAATGAAGAGCTGGAGAATGTGGATAAGGCTATTATCTCAGGGACACAGCAAGTAAGTGTAACATCTATTGATGTGGAATAGATGGTATAATGTGTATAATTAAAAATCAACACACTCCCTTTATACAAGTAAATAATGCTTGCTATCATTGTTTTGTTTCAGCTTTGTGATTATTGCAAAAGGCTGGGTGCAACCATACGATGCCACATAGAGGACTGTTCACGATTCTACCACTTCCCATGTTCAGCAGCCAGTGGATCCTTCCAGTCCATGAAGCAGTTGGTTCTTCTCTGCCCAGAGCACATAGAAAAGGCAGAAGAGCTGGGTAAGATCAGATGTATTTTCCTGAAATTATATAATTTTGTATGAGGAGATGATAAGTTGTCAAAGATTTGAATTAAAAAAATATGGATTTTTTTTCCCTAAGAGATATAATGCACTTCATGGTTTATCAGCTGTGTATTTATCCTTTATTTTTTTACAAAATGACAATGCATCCTCATTTAAGACTTGATCTGAAGCTATTGCAGCATTTTTTTAATTCAAAAAGTTTACTATGTTTAACCTAAATTCTCACAGATTGCTATCATTTATTCATTTATTAATATGTAACTTTCATAGTGATTATCATTCAAATAATGTTTAATGTTTTAATTTCCATTTGTGTATTTTTTCCTGTGGGATCAATAAAGTTTTATCTTATCTTATACGTAGCTGGAGAGGAGGCTTGGTGTGCAGTGTGTGACTCGGTTGGGGAGCTCACAGAATTGCTTTTCTGCACGGGTTGTGGCCTACATTATCATGCCTCCTGTCTGGAAATTGGTGCCACACCAATTCAGCGAGCAGGATGGCAGTGCCCAGAGTGTAAAGTGTGCCAGACCTGCAGGTGAGCTTGTACTCTCAAGTTAAACTACTCGCATATCATGTTTTGTTTATTGTTTTAAAGGCAATTGTCTTTCTTGTACTTAAATGTTATTTCTCAATGCTTAATACTCGTAGACAACCAGGCGAAGACTCCAAAATGTTGGTATGCGATGCTTGTGATAAGGGCTACCACACATTCTGTCTCCAGCCAGCTATGGATTCTCTTCCTTCTGACCCTTGGAAATGCAGAGTAAAACACTTTTCTAACTTTATGTTTACAAAGATTTACTATTGTATGTGGTTTTTAAATGGAACAACTTTTTAAAATGAAGACATATTGGTGAGATTTTGTTACATGCATTGTCAGTTTTTAGTTTTAATTTTTATGATTTGTACTACGTCAGAGGTGTCGTGTATGTTTGGAGTGCGGTGCCCGCGGATCGGTGCTACCGGGTTCAGCCCAGTGGTTCGAGAATTATAGTGTGTGTGAGGGATGCCAGCATCAACGGAGCTCAACGTGTTGTGTGTGCAGCAAAACTGCCAACCCTTCTGTTGTGCTTCAGTGTTGCAGTATTTGTCACAGGTTAGTTTAATAACAGTAGATGTTGTCACCATGCATGGTTACATCTTTCCTATTCTAATATAATAATTATGGTGATCTCTGATTTTCTTAGATGGATGCACAGTGAATGTGCATCATCGGAAGAGTTTTCAGAAGCCAAGGTTATTTGCTCGCTTTGCAAAGAGGATCATCAGCAGCCTGTTGCTCAGTCAGGGAAGTTGCAAACCAGAGAGGAGGTGACAATCCAAGCAAAGACTGACACCTTCACAGAAAACAGAGCAGATTTTTCAGAAGTGACATCTGAACAGAAAGGCACATTAAAGTTGGATCTTGCTCATAATAAACCTGAAAAGGAAACCCCCATGGATTTGGGTATGTTGAGGGCTAAGCTTAAATTCTTGTTTTGTATTTTGTTGGAATAATGTGATAATCTCAGTTTCTAAAATAATTTGCTATATGTATTTTTCAATCTAGGGGAGTCTGCAGCTCACACAACAGCTTATAAAGAAACAACCGTGGGGGGAGAGTCACGGACAGCAGCAGAAGGTTTGACTTGTGAGATGCCAGCCGCTTCACTTGTGTCTACAGGTAAACTCAAATCATACATATGTTAAAATGATCACAAAGGAAATTTGTAGTTTTGTGCTATTACTAATAATATACATATAAGTCAATGATGCTGATAATTGCATTTAAAAAAAAACAACAACAATAAAACAAAGAGCTTTTTCTCCTTCCCTTTCTGTATTGCAGACACACAAGACTCCCTTTCTGCTATGGATATGGAGGGGCGGTTACTTCCCCACTCTGATGATGAGGAGGAAGAAGAAGAGGACGATGAATATGAACAAATTAAAGGACACAATCTGGACATAAAGCAGAAACTTCAAGAAGTTAAGCCAGAGTTGCTGCTGGATGAAATGTCCAATATGAGCCACGGAGATGAAAGCAGCAGCGGCTTCCTTGGCTCTCCGGGAGAACCTGATCCTCAGCTCTCCATGGAATTTGGACTTGTACCAACTGGCCACTCACACACTGATAACCTCACTGAGACCGATGACTCGCTTCCTTTTGAACCCTTCAGAAGTGACAGAGAGAAGGCAAAACGTAGAGGATCCCCAGGACGCTCAAGAGTCAAACAGGTGAGGTCACCATTACGGCTCAGTGTTTTTCTTTTCAATATGTTCTAATGATAACGTCACTTTATGTTTATTTCTTAACTTGTAGGGGCGAAGCAATAGTTTTCCTGGGAAGCGCAGGCCTCGAGGAGGTGGTGCGGGGAGAGGGCGAGGTGGGAGGTCACGACTCAAAGCCATGGCGTCTTGCATTGACGCCTTTTTGGTGAATACTATTCATCTGTTGAAATACATTTCCATTTAACTTTAATGTGATACAAGTAATCACTTGCTTTTTGTTGTATGAAATTACATATTTTGGCATATCTGCTGTCCCCCTCAGCTAAGCATGACTTCAGACACTGGGCTAAGCAAGGAGGAAGATGATGATGAAGATGACACCATGCAGAACACAGTGGTTCTCTTCTCAAACACTGATAAATTTGTCCTGCTCCAGGTGAACCTCCTATTGATGTGTCCAAATAGTTTGTCTGTTTGCTGTTTTAAGAGCTGCATGATGTTGGATTTAAATGTAACCTGAATTTGACTTTCACTTTTCCCCCTCGTTTCAGGATATGTGTGTTGTGTGTGGCAGTTTTGGAAAGGGAGTAGAGGGACAGTTGCTGGCTTGTGCTCAATGTGCCCAGTGTTACCATCCTTACTGTGTCAACAGCAAAGTAAGAACAGTGTTATACTTAGGTTGTGTTTTTTTTTATTTTTTATTATCCACTTTGTCAGAGTGCATATCATCCATCTTTTGCAGATTACAAAGACAAAGCTTCGTAAAGGCTGGCGATGTTTGGAGTGTATTGTATGTGAAGTGTGTGGAAAGGCGTCAGACCCCTCTCGTCTGCTGCTGTGTGATGACTGTGACGTCAGCTATCATACCTACTGCTTGGACCCACCCCTGCACACTGTACCAAAGGGTGGCTGGAAGTGCAAATGGTATATACTTTTTAAGTGTACAGTACTCATCTTTGTACCTTTTGAATTGGGTCAAATGGAAATTAATGCATGTAAATTTACATATTATGTAAAACAGTATGGCAGCTCTGCGTTAACAATTCAAAATCCCATTGCTTTGCCTCTTTAATAGCTGGTACATTGCTCACATGTATCTGCTTTTTTTGTTTTTTCGTTGGAGCTGGATAAATGTAAGAGATCCTGACTCTTTCTCTCCAGGTGTGTGTGCTGTGTTCAGTGTGGTTCCAGCTCGCCAGGCTTCCACTGTGAGTGGCAGAACAACTACACACACTGTGGACCTTGTGCTAGCCTCGTCACCTGTCCAGTATGCCGAGAAAACTTCATGGAAGAGGAGCTGCTGCTGCAGTGTCAGTACTGTGATCGGTGAGTGCCTCACACACGGAAACTTAAAAATTCATGAAACTGCAGCTTATGAACACAAACAGAGAATGGATTATTTATGGTTTTTTTTCACTTTATGAATTATTGCATAGCATTTTTATTGCTGAAAAGTGTGAATTGCTATATTTGTGTGCTCATTTAGATGGGTCCATGCTGTCTGTGAGAGTCTGTATACAGAGGATGAAGTGGAGCAAGCTTCTGATGAAGGCTTTGCATGCACATCTTGTTCCCCTTATGTTCCAAAACCTGTTGGTGAGTCTCAAAATGGCACATATTCACAACAAAAATTATGGACTTAATATTAACTGATTATACAATTTTTGTTCTTACTTTCACTCCCTGCATACATTCATTGTTCTCAGTAGTAGAGTCAGCCATTATGGCTTCAATAAAGATCAAAGAGCCAGGTAAGTGAATTTTACTTTATATTCCTTGTTACTGTGTGAATATCTTGTTTTCTTGTGAGTTACTCTGATTTGACAATGTCATGTTACAGAGCCCCAGTTCTACAGACTGGAGGGGGTGTGGTTGACAGAGTCGGGCATGTCCCTGCTTCGTAGCATCTCTATGTCCCCTTTGCACAAGAGACGGCAACGTCGATCTCGTCTTGGCACTTTGTGCTGTGAAGGCGGTCCTGATGGAATGGATATGAGGGAGGTTGATGGAGAAGGAGAGGAGGGAAAAGGTTTGTGCGCTTTTCTCACATTCATTTGTCAGTAACATGTCAGAGGACCTATTTTAAGTGATTTTATTTTTTTATATGAATAGGCTGTGGGGAACCAATGGATTGTGACTCCAAATTGGAGCCAACAGGAAGTCCTGACCGAGAAGGTGGTGAGAGGGATGCTGGTGCAGAAGGAGGCATTGAAGGCATGGCTGACTGTGAGGGTCTTAAAGGTGGGGCAGAAGAGACAGATGACAGCAAAAAAAGGAAGCGGAAACCTTACAGACCTGGTAAACTTGTCACAACCTATAACATCATTGTTGATATCTTTGCAATCATAAAATACTGCTATGTTTGACACATTTTACTAGGGATTGGGGGTTTCATGGTGCGACAAAGGAAGTGTCACACTCGGATGAAGAAAGAGTTTTTTGCTCAGCTGGCTGGAGAAACTACATTAGATGGACAGCCAATCGAGCGAACCATTGAAGAAGGTGGGTGGTGACTGATTTTTTAGTTTTCTCCAACTTAGACATTGTGTTTATTATTATAGTGGGCACAAATAGCGCATAAAGAATATGTTAAATGAATACTAAATTATTACATTTGTTATGGTGGTGGTCTAGAGAATTATGAGATGCAAAGCTGTTCTGTAGGCTTAACGTTTTCAAACCAAAACAGCAATGCAATAATCCGATTACCCACAACAGAAATTTTTGAAGGGACATTGTTTTGCTGGTATATTTGTATAAATTATTTTTGCATTCAAAATATTTCACATTTGTAACATTTTGAAAGATGATGAAATTGTGGTTAGAAATAAATATCAAAATATTAATTTAAAAATTGCAGTTGCTAGACATAATGAGCTAATAAATAATTTAATCCTTTTGTTTTAAACACTTATTTTAACCAGTTCATTTGGAAGATATGTTATAAAAAGGTTTAGCCACTTTAGATGTTTTTTTTCTAATAGATTTCTATTCCAAAAAACTCCATTTGGGTCAATGCTAAAAGTAACACAACAAAACTGATCCTCATTTTATTTTAAAACCACTTGCTTCTTCCAAAGGTGCAATAAAATATTCATTTAAAACTTCATCTATCTTACCTAATCTTTACCAGTAGTAGCATTTATAAAATGCTAAAATATAAGAGATGTTTGAACGTCCTTACTAAGCAGCATAATTTAATGCATTAAAAATGAAATGTATAAAACTGAGTGTCATGGCTTTTTATGGGCAGGACCTCACCCGGACACAGATAATATAATGGATCCCAAACCATCGGAGGGTGAGGAACAGGCCAAAAAACGTCGGGGCCGAAAAAAGAGCAAACTTGAGGACATGTTTCCAACATACCTTCAGGTTTGTAGTCTCACTATGACCATGTCCTAAACAGTTATTAATACTAATGCATCCTGTGATCTATTTTTTTATTTATTGCAGGAGGCTTTTTTTGGGAAGACATTAATAGACTTGAGTAAGAAATCTATGATGATAGCCCCAGGGCAGAGGACAGGTACATGCCTTGTTCGACCTTCGTTACCAACACCAGCAGGGGTCAGAACTGCTAACCCCGAGAGTAAGAACTTAATCTTGAGCAGTGATGCAGTATTTTGAAGTATTTGTAATTCAAGGTGTGGAAAAGATCTATAAAGTAACTTGTGCTTTTCTCTGTAGCTGATGCCAAGGATCAGGTTGTGGAGGGCAATTTTCCATTCAAGCAAGAGGGGGGTGAAGCCCCCAAGGCTCAGAGAGACAGTGCAGGTAAGTGTCTGTTTTGACATTGCGATCAAAAGTTTAATCTTGTGATCTTGATCATTTGAAGTTGGCTAAAAAAAATTAAACAATTTTAGGAATCCCTGCAACATCCTCGCTGGTAAAGGACCAGATGTCAGTTAATCCCCATGACTCTGAAGCAGAAAAAGGTGAAGGTAATTCCCTTGGATTAAGTTTTTTCATCAGCTGTATGTAACGGAGAAAGAAAAGGCAAATACCAGAGTTGTTTTTCTTCTTTTAAGATGTTGTTTTACGTTGTTGTTCTTGTGTAACAGGTCTTCCACAGGGAGTGGAGAATCAGGATTCTGAGCAGTTCTTCAGGAAGGTTCTTGGGGTTCAAGATGGCTCCTCTTTGGGGGCCATGAAGCCAATCTTGGAGGTCAAGGGCGAACCAAATAGCACAGTGCCACAGAGAGCTCTCTTGTCAGGTGTGTACAAGAGATACGTGCAGATTATCATTAAAACCTTTAAAATGTCTACTGGTTGCTTTGACAACACTTTTTTTTTCTTTTTTTTAAGTGTCTGCTCATTAGAATACCAGTTTTATTTTTTATGAAATACTAGACATGGTTATAGGGCTAAAAACAAATTTTAATTTAAATTTTTTTTGTTGAAAATACAATTAATGTATGGTTCTGGAATGGGTGGACAAGAAAAGTCCAACTAAGGCTTGTTTTGGAATTCAAGTGCAGACTGTCTTGCAGGATCTCTGCCCTCCACGGGAATGATGGATACCTTTCCTGGCCTCTCTCAATCACCCTTCTTTGATATGCGGTAAGGCCTATATTAAATTGCTTAGTGATTTTTATTTTACACCAATTTATATTCACTAGTTCTTCTATGACATGTTTTAAAAAACAGATGATTAGTTCTTTTTTTACTTTGTCCAGTCAAGAGAAGTACAAATGCAGTCCCCTGATGCATGCTCAATAATCCAGGTAGAAAAAAAAAAAGAAGTTAAGTCAGGTCCTCTGGACGGGTTCAAAAAACAAACAAACAAAAAATGTAAAAATGTTTCGTCTTTCATCCGAAAGACTTCTTCAGTCTGAGGAGCTGTATTCAGCTCAGTCTTATAAATAGCACCTTCTCATAGTGGATCAACCAGTCCTGAATTTACAAAAATAAATTGATTTCTATGCTGTACAGAGATAGAGGAGGACTGTTCAGTCCAGATGGGGGGGAGGAGAGTCCATGGGCCACACCTTCTACCCCAGCAACCCCTTCCTCCCCACCCACTCCCACAGAGGCAGAAGGTGACGGGCTGTCCTACAACCAGCGCAGTCTCCAACGCTGGGAAAAGGATGAGGAGCTGGGAGAGCTCTCCACCATTTCTCCTGTTCTTTATGCCAATACCAACTTCCCAACTCTTAAACAGGACTATCCAGGTTAGTGAGAGAAAATGTCACACCAACGTACACATTATTATTTTACTGTTCGTGAGTTGCTCATCATGTCTTCTATCATAGACTGGTCAAATCGTTGCAAGCAAATAATGAAAATTTGGAGGAAGGTGTCTGCTACAGACAAGGTTCCATATCTGGTAGGTTCTCAATACATCATTGTGTTCTTGGTGATTTTACACGTTTTAAGATTGCTGTACTTCCTTTTTTTATAAAACTAGATATGTTTTTGGTGATTAGGATTGGGTGATCTTAGTAATTTGTAAATACAGGAATGAAAAAATCAATAATAAAATGTTAAATATCTTACAAATTTTGTAGATTAAATTCATAACAGCTGTAAAAATTTGCTTTTTTTCCCCAATATTTTTTATTAAAAAAATTATATGTATCATCTGTTATAAAAATGACATCTAAATACACAATTCATTAACAAAACTCTACTGCATAGTTTGTAATAAATTAACAAAATCAGCTGAGTCTTGTTTTGTTGCCAACAATTATGAGTCATTTATTTACATTTGAATTTTTACGAGTACACTTCTTACATTTTCGGTGTGTGACGGATAGCATATGGAGTCTGTAAAATAACCCCCAGATGTAAACGGGAGAACAATCAGAGCTGCCATGTCAAAAGTGAAACGTGTAAAGTGCTTTTCTCCTATTTCTTCTTCAAAAAAGGTGACTAAATGCTGTAAGGATGAGTCAACAGAAGTATTGGGGAAGGAAATTTAGTGAAGAGTAAATGAAAACGAGCAACATTTGCTGCATTTGTGAAAAGTTGGAGCTGCATTAACCTCCAAACAAATTTAATAATGGAGAAATTGTTAGAAGCGTAAAAATTCAAATCGAAACCATAGAAAGAAAAAGCACTTATTTTGACAGCTGTTGGGTCATTTTATGTTTAACCAACATAATTTATGAGGTTTTTGTAGTTTAATGCTGTTTCTGTCAAAGAGGTGAACAAGTAATAGTTCATTTATATATATATTTTTAATTACAGCAAAAGGCCAAAGATAACAGAGCAGCTCAGAGGATTAACAAGGCACAGAAGGTAAATTGCTATATACAATTTTTCTGAATTTCTATTTTCTATAGGTTCTGACTGTTTTCTTTTTCTTTTTTTTGTTGCACTTTCACTCTAACAGCAGGCAGAGAGTCAGGTCTGCAGGCCCGTCAAAACAGAACCTAGCCGTGCTAAAGGAGAACGACCGAGCTTGCATCTCCAGATTCCTCCACCTTCAGGCTCTACATCAATTTCTTCCCATCCAAGCTCAGCGGACAGTCAATTTTCCTTCCCTCCAGATTCTGGATCGTCTTCTGTATTTTTTCCAGATGGACCTATTAAGACTCCATTATCAGCTGACAGCAGGACAGATCCTCTGGCCAAACTTCCATCTCAGTCACCCCATTCTCACTCACACCCAGCCATGCCATTTTCTCATGCTGGGGCCAGTTCTTTACAGGCCTCTTCCTCAGGTTATTCTACTTCCGGCCCACAGGGTCCTCCTCAGGGACGGCCAGACAGCCTTGGCCCTTTTGACATGCAACCAGGAACTCCTGGAACCCTCAGGCGGGCACAACAGGTTGACCCCTACTTCAGATCACAACTGCAGCGGGAACAGGGTCATACCTTACAGTCACAGCAAGGCTCCCAAGAACTTCTAGGACCTCCTGAAAGTTCCAGTTCAAGAGGTACTGAGCTTGGGGAGTCACCCATCTTTTCACCATCCCACAATACTCGTCATGGAGACCCTTTTAGAACCCATCAGGGAATGGGACGGTCAGAACATGGTTTATCTCCATCACCTGCTGCAGTGGCCTCCTCGCCTGTGAGTACAGGGCAGTATAGAGCTGAAATCGGTGCACCTTCTTTGTGCTCTTCTGCTGCTGCAGGGTCTGAACTTTCCACTGGTTCTCCTGCTGGGATGGAATCTGGGTCTGGTTTGTTCAAGGCACCCATGACTCCTCGAATGCACCAAGGGGAGAGTGGAGGACTTCATCCTGGAGCCTCCCCTAGTCATCCTTCTGAAAGCTATAGGCAGTCTCCTTCTCACACTTTCTCTGACCCTCACACTCATCCACCACTAACCTCCAGACAACAATCGGGTGACGGTTGCACTTTTGGAACCCAGAGACCGCTTGTAGTAAAGCAAGAACAGGGACCTAGAGTACCCTCTAGTCCACAGTCCCAGGGCAGTGCTCAGTCGCCCCACACGCCTGGTGGCTTGTCCAATGATCCATATTCTGCACAGTCTCCTGCTACCCCTCGTTTTCAATCTCCAGAACCTTGTTCTAAGCCACCTTCAAGGCCACAATCTAGAGACCCCTTTGCTACTATCCACAAACCCCCTTGTACTTCCTCTTTTCCTCCAGAAGGAGCTGGAAGTTGCACCAAAACCTCTCCTCCTTCTAACCAGCCATCTCCAGTCCACTCAAGTAACAGTTCTACAGGGGATCCACCTTCTGGTAAACCCTCTTTCAGTCGCAGTCCTGGTACGGGATCTTCTCTAATCAGTCAACAGCAGACACAGATGGCACAGGGTCAGCCTCAGCAGCCACAATCGCAGGTGACGCTGGGCGCAAACCTCAGCTCCAGGATACCGCCTACTTCTGGATCCCAAGAACTACCAGCTGTTCACCCTCCAGAGATGCTCCATCAGTCAGCTTTACCAGGCACTCAAGAGATGTCTGACCTATCAGCAGTGCAGGATCCTTCATTAGTAGGACTCAGTCCATCTGAACTAGAGAAACACAAACAGGTGTAAAAGCTAACCAAAATAGCTACCAAAAATACAGTCGGTGTCTATCTGAAATATTTAACTAATCACTGCTTCTTGTGTTATTTTGTAGCGACAAAAACTAAGAGAGTTCATAATCAGACAACAAAAGCAGAAAAATTCAATCCGACAAGAGAAGGAGGCAGCGGCGGCGGCTGCCGCTGCTGGAAATGCCTCCCCTGGCTGGTCTGGAGGAGAGATGACAGCCTTTCAACAGGATAAGACCCACAGAGCACCACCACCTTATCCACAGGTACATGTTAAGCAGCATGCTATCAGCATTACAATTTTTTTAAATTCCTTTTTAATATTTTGTTATTGATTGTTCAAAGAGGTCTTTATTATTTGTTGTACAAGTTGAGGAAAGCAGTGCAGAGAGCACTGAGAACTTTCTGTATGTTAGCCTTTTCTCAGGCTCATGTCTTCTAATGCAGGAAAATATACAAATATATATTCACTTTAAATTAAAATCTGACAGTGACCATGCTGTTAGAGTGGTGCACAAAGAGAACATATGGTTCTTTGATATCTTTTTGTGTGTTGTTTTCACAAGATATTGTCAAAGTATTTAGAAAAGCAAACTGTTCGTTTTCATGATACAACTGAAATGTATTTCGTTAGTATTACACATCTGCTTTGTTGTAGAATTTCTGTAAAAGAAATTGAATGACCTAAATATTTAAAATGACAGTATTCAAGTATTTCAAATACAACAAATAGTACAATTAAATAATTTGCTTTTACTGCTTTCTTTAGGATTGTGTTGTCACTGCTACCTCTGAAGCTCAGGTTTCTGTGGCTGGGAATATGCATGTGGTTGTAGGAGGCATGGATGACAAGCTTATTCGCCCACCGCCTACAGGAACATCTGCCATTGTGGATTCTGGTGGACTAAGGCAGGCACTATTACACATTAGAAGCTCCAGTACTGTTTCTGTTATGCAATCACTTCAAAAGCACAGTTGTATGACAAAATAAATGCTACCACCTAAATAGATATTAGGCACCTTAACTTCCTTACATCCTTTGACTTCTGCTATATGTCACTATTGATATAATTTGAATTGGAATGTATACATTTTTATTTTCTGCAGGATGCCTGGGCCACCTAGACCTCATGGCATGTTTGCTCGTCCACCATTCCCTCATCAGTGGCAGAGCCAGGCTCAGAGTCAAAGGAGGTTACCCCAGCCTGGCATGGAAGGGATGGGCATAAGGCACAATCTTAACCCTGCTGTCAACATTCAAGGTATAGATGGCATGGGTAATCCTCGCACCGTGATGCCAGGACATGGAGGGGAGACTGTGCAGCCACTGGGTCAAGGGCCCCCACCACAGTTCATTGAATTGAGACACAACTCACAAAGGCTACCTCTACGGCCACAATTTATGGCTCGTGGACCCCAACCAAGACCACGCCTATTTGTTCCACAGCAAGAAATGGCTGCACCTTTTTTACAGCAACATCCTATCTCTCAAGCTGGGGGTCTTCAAACAGAAGGAGCCAGTGACTCAACACTGGGGTTACCACAAAGTGGTCTTCCAGTTTTACTGCCTCAGCAAACTACAGGCTCTGTATCACAACAGCCTTGTTTGCAGCCTCAAGCAGCTACATCCAATTCAAGCACTCATAATACTGAGCAGCATCGACTTGCACAGCCAGGCTTAATGGCAGAACCTCAGGCTGCAACTGCGGGGAGACGTGTGGAACTGCCAGAGCATGACCTTGAAGGGCTAGGCAATGCTCCAGGAGATGGAGGTGTGGAGGATGAGGATGACCTGGCCCTTGACTTAGATCCTGACAAAGGTGATGATGACTTGGGCAACCTGGGCAACCTTGAAACTAATGATCCACATCTAGACGACTTGCTTAACAGTGATGAGTTTGACCTGCTTGCTTACACTGACCCTGAACTGGACCAAGGTGACCCTAAGGATGTATTTTCAGACCAGCTGCGGCGAGTAGAAGCAGAAAGTGAAGCACCTTCATCGCTTTCTGGATCTGCCCATGTTAAAATGGAAGGAAAAGCCAAAGATGAGCCAAGACAGAAGTCTTTAGCAGCAGTTCCAACTGCTGCAAGAGAATCTGCTGCCCAGCTTTCACCCACTTCAAAAGCTGCTGAAGCTTCCAAAGTTAAAGTTGAAGGCAAAGGTCAAACCACTCAGTTGCAGTCAGAGCAAACTGTAGTTAAAAATGAAATGGGAGAGGCTGTGTCAATGCTTCTTGGAACACCAACAGCCAAGACAGCACAAACTGAAAACCAGACAACCTCCCTCAGTTCTGTTCGATTAGGAGGACTTCCATACCCCTTGCCAGGCCAAGATGATCGTTATCCTCCAGGTGCCCCACATGGAGATATTAGTGATGATCCACTGGGACTGCCTGATGTTGGGGGCCAACACTCCCCTGCAGTAGATTTGGCAAAGGTGGAGAGCTCTTTAGACGGTGAATTGCCACTTCTCATACAAGATCTTCTTGAACATGAAAAGAAAGAACTACAGAAACAACAACAGATGAGTTCGCTTCAACAGGGAGCCGTTCCTCCACATTTTCCTGGTATCTCAAGCCAACATCCAAATCTACAAGCACCTGGACAGCTACTGCTGCACCATCAGCATCGTTCACCAGCCCCAGGAATGATTGCTCAGTCAGGAATGGTGCCCCGTGCTCCCCACATGCTGCAGCAGCAAAGGCTTATGGGAGCGGGAATGGTACATCAGCCTCACATGACTATGCCCCAGCAGCAGGCTGTGATGAGAGCAGGACAGCCAGGAATGCACACAAGTCTTGGTCATCCACCGCAGCCAGTTGTTAAACAGTCACCGATGGCCAACAGCTTCTTTCCAGATAAAGGTAAACATAATGACTGGTTAATTTCAGTGTTATTGTGCTTTTTTGGTTTATGTTCTGCTTTTCTTAATCAACAATGTTATTTTTTGTTGCAGATTTGGACAAATTTGCTGCTGACGACATTATGGATCCCATTGCCAAGGCGAAGATGGTCGCTTTAAAGGGCATTAAAAGGGTGTTGGCACAGGATCCAATGGTTGTTCCATCTGGCATCAACAGGTACTTAAGCATAAAACCTGAACACCGTGTTGAATGCTTTTGCTTTAAGAGCATATGCTCATCATTGCTTAAAATAAAACTCAGGTTAAACCTTTTGGTTTATGGCTAACTTCTGGTAAAAGTGTACATTCAAATGGGCCTGTCACTTTTTTATAAGTCAAATTCACATAACTTATCAGAGGTTAGAAATTGTGACAGACATGTGGCTGAATTAATTGTACACCACTAAAAATGAACAAATCTGACACTTTTTTCTATCATGCATTCTAAATATATAGTAGCTTTTCGACTTGGCCAAAACAGCTACTAGCCGAGAGTGTCATGTTTCAGCTGGGCTATTGTTCAGGTTTTTGCTTTTTTTGTTGGATTAAATCAAAGTCAGGTGAATGGAAACAAGTAGTGGTAAGTTCACTCTCCATTACTGAGTCATAAAAATCAATTACGTGGCAGTAAATAAACTAACTTTTTGCTTGGTTAATGGAAAATTGTTTACACGTCATTCATGTGTTGACCTATTCCTCTGCTCTTTGTTTCTTTTAAGGCAACAAGTTTCTTTGCTTGCTCAACGGCTGGCCTCTGCCCCTGGCACAGATCCTGCGCAAATTACACCTGGACCACTGAAGGTATGTTGTCGTCCTTTGGAAGTGAGCGGCTTTTTTTTTTTTTTTTTTTTAAAAAATTTTTTTTTTTTTTTTTTTGAAGTCCATAAATAATCTACTCTTGTGTTTAGGAAGGAGAAACACCTGATCCTACCCAGTCAAGACCCAACCCTCCTCAATTTGTGCAGGGAATCATCAGTATGTTTTACTAATAATACTCCTTTGAAATGTTTAGTTATTTTTAAATGTTGTATTACCTTATTCACTATTTTTCAAGTATGATTACTGTTTCTCCTATTTCACAGACGATGCAGAACAGCATCAATATGAAGAATGGCTTCTTCATACCCAGCAGTTACTTCAAATGCAGTTGAAATTTTTAGAAGAACAGATTGGAGTTCACCGAAAATCACGCAAAGCACTGTGTGCTAAGCAGCGCACTGCTAAAAAAGCTGGCAGGGAGTTTGCTGAGGCAGATGCAGAGAAACTGAAGTTGGTTACTGAGGAGCAAAGCAAAATTCAGAAACAGCTTGACCAGGTTTGTTGAGTTTTGTGGGCTTCTGCAAAACCTTTTGATTTATACAGCACCAACATATGCATTCCTATGTTCATAAATATTCTTGTTTTAGGTGCGCAAGCAACAGAAGGAGCACACCAATCTTATTGCAGAGTACAAAAGCAAACAGCAGCAGCATCAACAAAGCTCAGGTATTCTTACTCCAGGTCATTCTGCACAGGGGGCCCCCTCTCACATGTTTCCCAAAATGCCAGGGCAGATGATGATTGGCCAGCAGGGAGCACCAGGAATGGGCCAGCACCCTGGCATGATGCCCCAAGTGGGAATGCCTCTAAGAATGCCCCAAGGACAGCCCTTCATAGGAGGACCACATATGCAGCCTCCTTCAGCTCTTGGGGCCAGCAGTGCAAGGGCACCTGGTCCATCGGGGCCTCCAGCTGCATTTTTCCCCCAGGGGCCTGGAATGCAAGGGGCAGACCCGAGGCTTCTTCATGAAAGACAACTTCAGCACAGAGTGCAGATGGCAAAGCTGCAGCAACAGCAGCAGGCGATGATGAGCCAACAACAGATGCCACACCCAAATCAACAATCCAGTTTAATAGCTCAGCCACAGGCTGGGATGATGGGGAATCAGCTTATGGCCCAACAGCAAGCCAACACTCAGCAAGGAATGACTGCTAATCAGCAGAGCGTGGTGCAGGTCCCACAAGGTATGGTTGGAGGCCAGACTGTGGCTCCATCGCAGCAAAATCTTACAGCTGGCCAACCTTTTAATCATTCTCAAGCCATGATGGCAGCTCAGACAGGATTGATGGGGAATCCGTCATTACAGCAACAGAGACCTCAGTTGATCATGGGTCCGAAAGGTGTTATTGGATCTCCAGGTCACCCAGGACTCAGGGGACCCCAGGCTCAGTTAACTCCACAACAGCAGAACATTCTTGCTCAACGTATGCTTGTATCTCAGCAGCAAATGACACAGATCAGTCAATCTAGCCAGGATCAAGGAGGGCATTCCCAGCCCTCTACCCCACAGATGGGTTCCTCCCCCTCAGCAGGAAGTAATACACCCCAACCACAGGCATCTACTGACAGCCAAAACTCAGGATTCAAAGAGGGAGGGATTCTAAGCCCTGATTTAAGGACTCCACCACATCACAGTGGACCTTCCACTCCCAGTCAGATTTCCCAACAAGGCTCTGTAAATGATCATCAGTCTGACCTGGAACGGCAACAATTACAGCAGCAACATCAAAATCAGGTTTATATAACCCAGCATCACAATTCAAATCCTCAGTCTGTTCACGAACAACAACCGGGTTTGACTGGAAACCAACATTCTGGTGCCCCTCTACAGCAGCAACATCAACTTCCACAGAGACAGGGTTCCCTTAATGCTGACAAACCCAGCTTGATGACTATTAAAGAAGAAGTGAATCCAGTTGATTTATTAGCTAAACAACAGCAAACAACTCAAAATGCCACACAGCAGGCACCAGATCCTACCATGCAGCAACAGATCATGAGTCAGAATCGTCCTGGCCAGCCACAGTCGGTTCCAATGGGCTTTAATTCACAGCAGCAAGCCCTCTTGGCCCAGCAGCAGAAACAACAGGCGATGATGGGTATGATGAGAGCTCAGCAGCAAGGGATGATGGCACAGAGACCCAATGTCCCACCTGGACAGATTCGCACTCCTATCAACATTCAGGCAATTATTGCTCAGAATCCTCAGCTCCGCAATCTTCCCCCAAACCAGCAGATACAGCACATTCAGGCTATAATAGCACAGAGACAGCTCCATCACGGACAGATGCTGCGAATGCCTATTGGCCAAGGCCAACCAGGTCAATTGAGACCACAAGCTCCACAGGCCGGGCAGCAGATGATGGGGATGGAGGGCCATCAGATGCCTTATGGAGTTATGGGGAAACCAGGAATTGTGGCCAGTCATCAGCAATCGGGCATGTTTGGCCAGCAACCTGGTGTTGGTCCTCAGATACAGCAAGGGATGATGGTCCCTGGCCAGCCACAACCACAATCAGGGGAGATGGTACAGCAGCATATGAACAGGGGTCAGTTACCAATGCCGCATTCCCCCATGGAGCAAAGTCGAGTGGTGAGGCCAGCGTCTCCGCGACAACCATTAGTCAGCTCGCCGGGGGATCCACAACGTCACATGTTTAATCAGTCCATGTGTCCTCCCACTCCCAACCAGAATCAACAACAAGCACTAATGGCATCTGCATCAGGCCGAGTTCAGGGGTCTCCGTCCCATGCATACTCCCCAAGAGCTCCTTTTGGTATGAGCCCAGCCCACCCAGCCTCACCTTACTCATCTCATATCTCTTCACCTTCTGTAGCTGACTGTAGAGCTGGGAAGGGCAGTCCATACAGCCAAGTTAAGGCATCCCCACTCAGGTCACCTGGAGCCAAAAGTCCTCTTGATTGTTCAGGACTGAAAGTAGAAACTCAGACATCAAGCTGTGAAACATCTCAGACATTGTCAGTTACCCCTAATGGGCCACAGAAAGGTGTGAATGTTCAGCAAGAATTAAAAAACATCACAGAAAGTAACGTTCACACACAACAAGGGGAGCTATTCAAGGTAGTGCAAAACATTAAACAAGAACCAAAGGAAGTTCAGTGTGACGGTGCATCAGAGACTAATCCTGGAACTATTAAGCGAGAAATGTGTGAAATGATTACGTCTGGGTGTAACTCCAGCTTTTCTAATGCTGGAAACATATCCAGAGACTCTGAGCCCCATGGTCCTAGATCTGAGACTGGACAACAGCTGCTGCAGAAACTCCTTAAAACCAAGAATATTCAGCTTAACGCCCAGAGGCCGTCTGAAGGCATCCACAATGAGATCAATGGTCACATCAACAGTAAATTGGCTATGCTTGAACAAAAACTACAAGGAACTCCAAGAAATATGGAGGTATGATTTTCTTAAGTTTAATATATGCTTTTAACTTTACTGTTCTTCATAAGGAAAAACTTGTATTTTTTTCAACTTTTACAGGACTTGCAATCTTTAACCAAAAGGGCTCCCGTACAAAAGCCCAAGCGCATTAATAAGCCAAGTGGTGACAAAGGGCCGAATTCACGAAAGAAAAATAAGAAGGAAGAGGTTGGAAAAAGTGCTGAGACCTTAATAAAACAACTCAAACAGGTAAATGTTAAAAAAAAAAAGTTCCAAAAGTGTTTTTCTTTTCCACCAATGATGTCTTTTCCATTATGCTGACCAATGAACATTTATATACCAGGGTCTCTCTCTGCTGCCATTGATGGAGCCTTCAATCACCGCCAGCCTGGACCTCTTTGCTCCATTTGGAAGCAGCCCATCCAATGGAAAAGGACAGTTGAAAGGATCATTTGGAAATGCAGTGCTGGACAACATCCCAGACTACTATTCTCAGCTACTTACAAAGGTAACTCAGTTTCACAAGTATAGTCTTGTTTTGGTTGTGGTCAACTCCTACTTTTAGAGCAAAGTCTTTGAAAACGAACGGTAAGTCCCAGGAAATAAATGACAAACTGCTTACGTTTTTACAGAGTAACCTCAGTAACCCTCCAACGCCCCCATCCTCCTTGCCACCTACTCCACCACCATCCGTACAACATAAGCTGCTAAATGGTGTGACAACAGGAGAGGACCTTTCTGAGGGCCAGAAGAACACAGAACCATCAAAAGAGCCAATGGGTAATTTTTGACTTTGTGTTTGAGAATGTTTTTATTGTGCCGTTAAACATATTTCAAAATGTACTAAAATCACACATGTAGGTTCTGTTAAAGAGGAAGTAAAGAATGTGGACCTTCTAGCAGCCCTCCCTACGCCACCACATAACCAGAATGAGGATATCAGGTAGAGCTGTCCTGACTTTTTCCATCTTGTACAATCCAAATATTTTCTTGGATGTTGCATGTAACACTGGAAACATCTTTTCAACAGGATGGAGAGTGATGAGGACGATGCTCAAGAAAGCATCATCCCAGCGTCATCTCCCGAGAGTAATGTAGGAGACGCAACACCACGTTTTCCTAATCTCCGAGAGCCCAAAGAAGAGGATACAGAGAGAGCAATATCCCCAATCATACCTGTCATACCTCGCACTGCTATCCCAGGTAATATGCAACACTCCGGGTTGCATTATCATCCATCCATTATTTTAACACCTTCTTCCTTTCCAGGTCACGGGTTGGATATATTATGTTACAAGAACATTTTATTTGATGTGGTCTGCCATGAAATTTTCATGCCATTTTGTCATTAAAACAATTTGTCAAACAAATAATGAATAATTATTTCATACATTTTTACAGCATTTCCAGAAAATAAGCCAGTTGAAGCATCTGATGGGAAGGTAGTTTCCACATCCAACCACTGGGACAAGACCAACAGCAATGAAGTGTCTGTTACCTTCACAGTGTCTCCTGCTGCTGCCAAGGTACTAAATCATCATCTTAGTAAGTCCATATTTATTCTTTTTGATTTTACGCATTCGGATAAACTTTTGTTCTGTTTTTGCCAGAAACTCAATCATGTAATGATGGCAATGGCTCAGCTGCTCAACATTAGGATGCCAGGTTCTTATGAGGTCACGTTCCCTCCCCAAAATGCTGATCTGCCTGGAGTGGATGGGCCTGGGAAAAAACATGGACACTCAGGTGGATATTTCAATATTCTTTCAAGTTTTATTTTTATTTTTGTTTTCACTGTGCATTTTGTTTCACAACTGTTTTGTAGTATTTTGTCATATATATGTAGATAATATAATTATATCAAAAGCCTCTTGATTTAGTTGGTTTGTCCAAAAACAACTGTTTTCATTAAAGGATCAACATTTGACATTGTTGATTAAATATTTAGGAGTTTGGTTCTCAGTCAAAATAAAAGACTGTTAATTCTTTGGTCATATTTGTAGGTTCTTTGTGCACAAAGGACGGTGCCTCGCCCAGTCAGGATGAGTGGCTGAGGCAGTTTGACGTTTCTCTCCCTGGTTGTACGCTAAAGAAACAAGTAGACATTTTGGCACTTATTAAACAGGTTTGTAATTTATCTGTTTAGAAGTATTATTGTTGTTGAGCGTTTATCTCGAAGGGTATCAATTTCATGTGTGCATTTTTCTCCTAGGAATTCCCAGAGAATGAGGACAAACCAGTTCAGCACTGTTACACTACCAACGTTAATGATTTGGACGTTCGCCACCTTCCTGTTATACCTGTGGAGGAATCTCTACCCCCATCACCTTCTCTTCCACAGCCTATCCTGTCGTTACCAGTCACAGCTAGTGAGGCTGATTCTTCCAAAAAGTCATCTCCAACATCACCTCCCTTCAGTCCCACCCATGTCCTGATCAAGACCGAGCCTGAGCAGCATGTGGTTTCTCCTACTGATGCTTCTCAGCCAGCTAATGTCACAGAGTCTGAAGCTCCTGCTGCTCTAGAATTAATTACTGAACCAGCAACTTCCTCTGCACTGTCTGATCCTGTTGAGCCTACTGAGGGTCATCATAGTCCTGTCAAAGAGGAGGCCTGTGTAACTGAGCAAACCCAACCTCCTATGGATTCTCCCAGCACCATGGAGTCTTCCCCTATAGCTGTCAAGCAGCGCAGGCCTCTCTCACCCGACGAAGAGGTAGCACACCCCAAAATGAAAAAGTGGAAGGGGATTCGCTGGAAGCGTCTTCAGATTATCATCTCAATACGAAAAGGCGGCTCAAAAAAGGAGACCAGCCGGGAGGTGTCAGAGCTGATGGACACCCTGCGCATCACTCTTCGACCCGAAAAGCTTCCTCGGGATAAACGCAAATGCTGCTTCTGTCACGAAGAGGGTGACGGGGCCACAGATGGTCCTGCACGTTTGCTTAACATTGATGTGGACCTGTGGGTGCACCTTAATTGTGCTCTGTGGTCCACAGAAGTGTATGAGACACAGGGAGGTGCCCTGATCAACGTGGAGGTGGCCTTGCGTCGTGGATTACGAACTCTTTGTGCGTACTGCCAGAAAACGGGTGCCACCAACAGCTGCAACAGACTACGCTGCCCAAACGTGTACCACTTTGCATGTGCCATCAAAGCACGATGCATGTTTTTCAAGGATAAAACAATGTTGTGCACCCAGCATAAACTGAAGGGTCCCAGTGAAGACGAACTCAGTACGTTTGCCGTTTTACGCCGGGTTTACATTGAGCGAGATGAGGTTAAGCAGATAGCCAGCATCTTGCAGCGAGGTGACCGCATCCACCTGTTCCGTGTTGGTGGTCTCATCTTTCATGCTATCGGCCAGTTGCTACCTTCCCAAATGACCAACTTTCACTCACCCACTGCCATTTTTCCTGTTGGCTATGAAGCCACACGCATGTACTGGAGCACACGTGTGCCCAACAAGCGATGCCGCTACCGCTGCCGCATCAGTGAAGATGATTGCCGCCCGCTGTTCGAGGTGCGTGTTCTGGAGCACGGCATGGAGGATTTACAGTTTCGGGACACAACACCAGAGGGTAAGAATGTGTTCACACTTTTTTCATTGTGTCTGTTAAATTTTGTACTATCTTGACCGGTGACCAAATACAAATTGTTGTCTCTAGGGATATGGGAACGGATTGTGCAGCAGGTGGCTAAACTTCGAGAAGAATCGTTCATGTTGAAGCTGTTCACCGAACATGTGAAGGGAGAAGAGATGTATGGCCTCACTGTTCATGCTGTCATGCGAATCACGGAGTCTGTAAGAATTTCTTTTATTTTAGTTTATTTGATTTCATCTGAGGACAATGGACTGTGCCACACTAAACCAGTCATGGCTTAATGTGTTCTTTTTTTGATGTTCTGTGACAAAAAACTGCTTTATGTTAAAGTTACCTGGAGTGGAGAACTGCCAGAACTACCAATTCCGATACGGCCGTCACCCTCTGATGGAGCTCCCTCTCATGATAAATCCAACTGGCTGTGCTCGCTCTGAGCCCAAGGTTCCCACACAGTGCAAGAGGTAAAGCATTATTATAGCAAAAAGCTGCACCTAACCGTAAGACCGACTGTAGTCTGGTCAGTACATTATCAAACTGAGTGAATCATCTACAGTTTAATGAGTTAGTTGTTGTTGTTTTTTTAAACGGTGCTGCAAGCTTTATATTTTTAAATAGAAGAAAAAAAAGACAAGAAGCTCTTGAAGTACTATTCCCATCTGCATCTCAACAAATGACATTTAAAGAAGACTACATCCCAAATAAGTCACCACTTGATGCATATGTGTTGCATTTCTAAATGCCTTAAATATCACCAGTCATAGTATTTCTTTCTGTTTCAAGGCCTCATACTCTAAATAGCACCAGCGTGTCAAAGGCCTACCAGAGCACTTTCACTGGAGAGCTCAACACACCATATAGCAAGCAGTTCGTCCACTCCAAGTCCTCTCAGTATCGGCGTCTAAAGACCGAGTGGAAGAACAATGTTTACCTCGCACGATCTCGCATTCAAGGCTTGGGGCTGTACGCCGCAAAGGATCTGGAGAAGCACACCATGGTCATCGAGTACATCGGGACTGTCATTCGCAATGAGGTGGCCAACCGACGTGAGAAGATCTATGAGTTGCAGGTACTTCATAATATACCAAAAAAAAACATAATTGGGTTGAAATATATGGGATAATGATTAAAATATTACAAGGACATGTTTGGGTGCTGTCCAAATCTATTTTACAGCTGGATCAAATTTCAGACCTTAGAGTAAATATGATAATAAATTGTATGTGGTTTCAGTTCTGGAACAAAAACATTTGTTGTAGTAAGTTGTTTGTTTTTCCAATGGTAGAACCGTGGTATCTACATGTTCCGAATCAACAATGAGCAGGTGATAGATGCCACTCTAACAGGCGGCCCAGCTCGGTTAGTATCACTTTGTACATGACTCCCTGGTTTAAAATCTTTTTGTATTGTATATTTTGTTACCAACTATTTTCTCCTTTCTAGATATGTCAACCATTCCTGTGCCCCCAACTGCGTCGCTGAGGTTGTAACATTTGACAAAGAAGACAAGATCATCATCATTTCCAGCCGCAGGATCCCCAGGGGAGAAGAGGTGCATTGCAAGAACAAACTTGTTTACTCATTTTGATTTACCCATAATTTTACTACTTCTTTAGATTTGATGTATGTAAACTGTTTCTGTTTTCTGATTCCAGCTGACCTATGACTACCAGTTTGATTTTGAAGACGATCAGCACAAGATCCCTTGCCATTGTGGAGCCTGGAATTGCAGGAAGTGGATGAACTAAGCAGGAAGAAGGAGAAATGGAGCGTTGCCCTCACTCGTACCAGAACACTCCCGCGCCAAAGCCTTTGAATCCTACATCGCCAGTGCATAAGCTGTTCTGAAAGACATGGAGGAAGACTGTCCTCTACTAGTGAAAGACTAAAGTGTTGACACTTGTAGCCAAAGGTCTGAGCATTAATCGTTTGAAACCAACCGACCACCTTCCATCAGCAGCAGTTTGATGGTGGAGTCTGACTCTGATGTTCGGACTTGTGAATTTCCCTTTCCTGATCAACCCCCCACCCCCTCTCCCTGGACGAGCCTGTTCTCAGTGAGCTTGCAGTTGCTGGAAAACAATCCTCAACATCTGCCAAATGATCTGACCCTCTGACATTATTACTTGTAGTGCAGAGCTCACCTGGAGCTTCAACAAAAAGCCATGCTAAGCAGGAACTAAAGATGCATCTTAATCTAACAAGGTTGGATGGGTTCTTCTTTGTTGAAACGTTTTGTCTTTTATCCAAAAGACTGCTTCAGTCTGAGGAGCTGCAACAAACTCAGTCTTATGAGCGGCACCTTCTCATGGTGGATCAACCAGTTTGTTGGAGATGGACAAAACTAGCTGAAGGACCATCAACCTAACGACTGAGCGTTAGTGCCCTGATGGTTGCTTGCTATTCACAGAGTGATGCATGCATCCAGAGGACCTGACTCAACCTTGTTAGATTTATCTACCAGGATGACTGAGCATGCATCAGGATGCATCTTAATCTTTTTTTTTCCTAGTCAAATCAATTTCCTGTTCTACCTGGCCACCTCCCAGACAAGGCACTTTCACTTCAAGTGACATAACAAAGAACACAGCTATTGGCTAGCTAGACAATCTTGACCTTCTGTGTAAAAACTGCATTTGATTGATGGGGAGGGAGGAAAAATGATAAAAACATAACATTGTAGATGCTATTCATCTGCGGCTCCAGTGGCACCAGATGTTCCCGGCTGTCCCAAGGTGGGTTAGTTTTGACCCGGTCTACCTCACTGATTCAAAGTGACTGCTTTGTAAAAAACAAAAAAACAAACAAAAAAACTTTTAACTGCTACTGTGGAATTACTGTGGGGTGGGGGGAGTTGGGGATGGGTGTGTGTTTTTCTGGGCTTAGCCCTCTCGGACAAGCAGGGAATCTAATGCAGCAGGTTTGCTCTCTCTATGCTGATGATTTACAAAACGGAGCCAACATGATTATTAATTATTTATATAGAGCAACTATCATTTTGCATTAACATTACAGTTGGATGCTTTCAGGGCGTCCTTATTTTGCCACCAAATCATTCTGGATATTAATGTTTTAACTTTTATTTCTGCATTCTGAAACCATGCTGTGTGAAAGCACAACATTCACCCTTTGAGTTAATCGTGCAAAAGAACTGGTGTAGGGTTTAGTCTTTGGGGAGGATTATTTAATCCAACCCTAAGCAAAGCACCGTTTAGATTCACCTCTTTCTACATAGAAGTTTTTTGTTTGTGAGGAGCCAGTGGATGTGTGACTACTGTTCCATTTATTGCTTTTAGTTCCCCTACCAGGTCGATCTGTTCAAACCTCAACCTTGAACTCTGAATCATGCCTCTTCCTCTCTGTTATTTAATGGACTGTTTTAAACTTTACTGTAGTAAGTCTTCCTCTGCCTGAGTACAGCCTGCAGTGTTTCTACTTCCCCTCTAGCGTGCTTTCTTCTTTCTCCTTTTCCAGTGCTGGTACTTGTCTAATCGAGGCTGAACTGGTGGCAGGGAAAGACTTCTAGAAAAAAAAAAGGGCATTTGTTTTTATTTGTGTAAAAACGAACGAGGAAAAAAAACCAACAAAAAGGTCTTTAAAGGGAGCTTTACTAAAACTCCACCTTCCCATATTACTGTCTCCTTCCCCTAACCTCAGACCTCATGTGATTTTTAAAAATGCAAACTTGTACAAAAACTGTAAATATAGTGTACGCGTTTATGCATTAAGAGGACAGCAACTCTTTATCCAGCCCCTTTTGTAATCAATGACGTCAAAAGTGCATAAATATTTTTTTTTTTTGGTGTGGGGGAGAAAAGATAAATCAACCACTGGATATTGATTTTAACAAAGATTAAAGTTGTACATAGATATAAATATATGTAAAATTGCAAACTGATATCTTTTATGTATATGAACCAGAGTGTTTTGCATTGACCTGTTTTTCTATTAGTGCGTTTTGCTATGAGCTCTCAGAGAAACGTTCGTTCTAACAGGTATGAGGAAAATATCTGATCATTTGTGACAAGAAGCTGAGCTGATTACTGGATTTATGGCGAGAGTCGTTAATTAGACATGAAAAAACATCACTCTTTGCATAAAGCAGTACAATGGTGCATAGCATTTGTATTTATGTAAGTTTATGTTTATTTTTCTGGTTTTATTTATGCCTGTTGATTACCAAAAGCTGTTCTTTTAATCATTTTAAAAATTGGATGATTTGTAGTCTTGAATGGAAAATGTTGACTTCCCTAGAATCTTGCTAGTGGTTTGCTTTATTTTTTATTTTTACCTCCTCCGTTTAGAAGTGAATGTGTCGGTAAACCTCGTGAAATGGTTACTTGGCCTAATGTATGTTTATGATATAATACTCAGTTAATCCCATACTTAACCTGGTAATGAATTGCACTCTCATTGTATAACAGAGAACTTATCTAAAGTGGTAGATATTGATCAAGTATCTGAAACAGTGATATATATATAAATATAAATATATTTTTTGGTATGTTTCTATTTCAAGGGAAGACCATAATGAGACATTATGATGCTCACTGGACTTTAGCGTAAATACTTTGTAACTTCTCTGAATCTTAATTTAAGATCTCTGCATATCTTATAATTTAAATAAAAGTTAAGCTCAAATCGAAGGTTTTTTTTAACCTCACCTTTTTAAAAAATAAATGAAAAAAATAATGTTGCATCTGTACAGCAGAGATACTTTTAGGGAATATGAATAATTATGATCATTTTTATTGTATGTGGCATGTTTTGTATGGATATTCTTTGAATTGTACATATTTTTTCAAAGACTCCAGAGGTTGCATCTCTTTATATACTCGTTTCTCCACTCCTTTCCTCCCCCACTACCCCGTTTCATCTTATTTCTTTGTCTGCTTTTGTTTCTTGGAAAGAAAAATAAAATGCATTTTAAATATGAGACTGTTCCTTTAATCCAAAGACAAAAGTCTGTGGCTGCATTATTGTATCAAGTTACCTTAAAAGATGTTTAGCTAGTTAATGTTTAATCAGACCCATTATTGTCATTACATAAAATCTTTTCTGCACTAAACCAGCTCTAATGTTAACAATCTTTGTGTTATTTTCGATCAGCACGTCTTGTCAAGGTCGAGGTTTCTTTATTGTCATTCACATCTCATGGTGGAATGAAACTGTGTACACAGGTTACATCCAACAAAAGTATAAATTGTAAAGAAAAACAGTAAAAAGATCTAAGATGTGAACTAAGAAATACATTAAGCAACAAAAGTACAGAAATAATATGCCAAACAACAGCAGCACAAACATGCGTCTGTGTGAGCAGATCACTACGAATGAACACAGCAACGTGAAATAAATCAGCATGAGATCAGCAGCATGGATAGTCAGCAGTCCATATCAACAATCAAGTGGCATTACAGTGATTTTTTTTTTTTTTTTTCACAGTGATTATCCTGGTTAGAGATTCATGAGTCTAACAGCTTCATGGTAGAAGCTGTTCCTCAGTCTTGTGGTTCTACACTTAATGCTCCTTAACCTCCTTCCTGAGGGGAGTGGGGCAAAAAGTGTGTGTGCTGGGTGAGCGGGGTCCTTCATGATGCAGGTGGCCCTCTTCCTGCATCTGGAGGTGTAGATGTCTGTGATGGTGGGGAGGCTGATTCCGACAGATTTCTGTGCAGCCTTCACCACTCTCTGCAAAGCTTTTCTTTCTGCAGCTGTGCAGCCTCCATGCCACACATTGATGCTGGAGCACAGAATGCTCTCCACTGCACACCTGTAGAAGGAGGTGAGGAATGAGCTTCCCAGACCAGCTCGTCTCAGCCGTCTGAGGAAGTAGAGTCTCTGATGAGCTTTCTTGATCAGGCTGGTGGTGTTGTTGCTCCAGCTGAGGTTGTCATTCATGTGTACACCCAAGTACTTGTAGCTGGAGACCACTTCCACCGGAGATCCTCCTATGTTTGGGGGCAGGGCTGGTCAGGTGTATTAGTTCCGTCTGAGACCATCTCTTTTGTCTTCTTCACATTGATGTGAAGGTTGTTCTTTCTGCACCACCTCTCCAGGTGTTCCACCTCCTGCCTGTAGCTGGACTCATCGTTGTTTGTGATGCGTCCCACCACCGCTGTATCGTCTGCAAACTTTACAATATGACAGCCTGGATAGGTAGCTTCACAATCAAATGTGAGCAGAGTGAACATGAGGGGACCCAACACACAGCCCTGGGGGGAGCAGAGAGCTGCCATCTAGGGGACCCAGGGGAGCAAATGGTGGGCTCAAGGGCCCAGGGTGAGGCAAATGAGGGTGGAGACAGGTGTGGGTGTTTCACCTTTCCCATCCACATTTTGATGTTGTCGGTCCAGGGAGTTGAACCGGTGACCAACAAGATCACAGACCCACCTTCTCTAACCTCTGCACCACCACTCCCCAAGAACTTTATTTTAAAACAGACCTTTCATGTTCACTATCAAAATAATCTCGTACAGGATTGTGAAAATGAGTTTAAAACAGGCGTGGAAAATGTAAAGTTTCTGCAGATATAAGTTCATAACAGAGCTAACAGGAAAAATCTCAATTAAATCAACTTTTTGTGTGATTCAAAACGCCATCATTTTTCCGTGCACCTGCACAGTCAGGGAGTTTGTAGTTGTGTTGTATAAATCGATCATGCCAAACAGGTGCAGACAATCCTTATTTTACTTTGAAACAGTCATTAAATGAATAAGAAATGACCGGAAGGCTAAAACCAGACTAGGAACCCCTGGATCTAGAGGGCAAAGGTCACACCGATCTAGTTTTACCATTAGATCAATAATTTAAAAATAAAGATTTTATATTTTTTGCTGCAGCATCTCTTACATCTGCCTAAAAGCTGAGACTTTCAGAAGTGCCAGCCTTTTATTTAAAGGTGCCATTATTATCCTGTTAAAGAATTTTGTCTTGTACCTCGCCACACGGCTTTAAAATAAAACTTGTGGATTAAACACCAAAATCTGTGGCTCTATTAGGAACGGAGTGCCACGATGTTTGGGAGTGGTACCCGATGCAACCGACTAAATTAGCAAAATTAGAAACAGCTGTTAATGGGACTTTAGTGAAAAAGATAAGAAACTGGAGCTCTACAGCTCAAAGTTTTACCAGCTTACAAAAAGTTGGACTTTAAATGGTAAATGGACTGTACTGCACTTATATCTTTCTGTCTTAAGTTACTCAAAGCTCTTTACACTACAATCTGTGCCCTCATTTACCCATTCATACAGCACTCTACTATACAAAGAATAATCAGTGCTTATTCAGACACCAATGGGACACACATCAGAGGCAATGAGGGGTTCAGTGTCTTGCCCAGGGACACTTCGGCATGTGACTGCTGGTGGAATCAAACCCCCAACTCTCCCACTGGAGGACGACTGCTCTAACCAGCTAACCAGTCACAGCTGCTCCATACATTACGTCTGAACTGGCACTGTGGTTTATGGTTTTTACACTACCACAGTTTAGGTTTAATGATTTTTAGATTTTTCCACTGAATGTTGAACTGACAAACCTTTGGTGTCACACAAACTTTTAAAATGTCTAAAAGTTTCTAAACCTTTGCAAACTTCTCAGTTTTGATACAAATGGTGTGTCAAAACGTAGGTATTTCTGTCTTCCATCATTCAGCTCGTCTCTTCACTGCTATAGGACTTATTGTCTCTAAAATTCCCTCAGAACAGTGTACACCTCCAAGCTTACATAAACTTCACCGTATTTTTTGGACTATAAAGGTGCATTAAGAAAACAAAACAGATAAGTCAAACTTTATTCAACTCATTCACAATAACCACATAAAATCGGTTCGAGGGTTAATACATAAGGTGCACCTGATGATAAGACTCACTGTTGATTTTTGAGAAAATTTAAGGATTTTAAGTGTGACGTATAGTGCAAAAAAAAAAAAACTGTAATTATATTTTAGGTTTTGTTTTAACTCATCTCCTGTACTGTAGAACTTCACGTGTAATCCTCCGAACCTTTAGTTGCCCACAGTTCGAGAATTTTTCAAATCTGATTGTTTTTGCACAGCAGCTGTTTGTTTGAGGCTTCAGTTTTTGTTCCCGTTTGCAGTCAGGGAGTGAGACACAGGTGTGCGGTTACCACGATGACCATAATGAGCCTGAGCAGCATTTTGGTTGAACTTGGGTGTTCCCAACACCTCATACTACACTACAAACTTAGTTTCTTAAAGAGTATCACAACACTGAGTCATTGGCACCAGAAACGTTTCAATTCACGTGTTCAAGCCCCTGCAGGTAGAATTCAACATTAACACAAACCACAGATAAGAAAAAAAAGGAATTTATTGTATACGTCTATATACACTTTTGAACTAATTTGGAAAAGATCTGCACATTATTACTTTTAACAACTTGAAATATTACCTAAGAACATGATGATCAAATACCCATGGCAACAAACCAAACATGGACAGGAGTGTTGGTTCTTTTTTTTCTTCTTTTTGGACAGTTTTGGTTCAGCAGTCATCCACTTCCATCTTTCCACTACATTTCTACACACGTTATCAGTAGCAGCAACAATTCTGGGTTACAAATGAAACAAACAGAACAGGAAAAAATAATCAATCTGTGGGTGATGGAAAAACAGTGCAGACAACCCAGTGTTTGAGGCAGCATGCAGAACGGACACCAACATGACCCATGGATTCTGAATGGCTTCGTTAACGTTAATTAACTAAGTAACGAACGCCCTTCAGAACAGAGTCAAGGTCATACCAAAGGTCACATCAGCGGAATACTTTCATAGTGTCCACAGAAAGACTCGGAGCTGCAGAACCGGGATGAAAACATGCATTTTCACTCTGCAGATTCACTTCAACTTCTCCCACATTTTACATTTTAATTGTCAGTTTCCTGGGGATGGGGGGGGGTTAAAACAAACAAAAAAAAAGTGGTAGTATTTCATTGACACAATGCTTCTATGTGTTCCAGTGTTAAAAGAGAAGGAAATGTCATCACACAGGACAAATACTGAAACTTGAGCGTGTGTAGATCTGGGATCAGTAGTACCACCGAACTGCCATGAGAGGAGCAATTGAGGAAAAACAAAAATAATAAACAATAATAAACAGAGTTCTTTTGAAAAAAGCACAGTTAGAAAGAAACCATGCAGACAAATAATAATAGCCCCGTGAAAGTACCGTTGGGAGCAAATTCACTGTTCAAATGTCACACTGAAGCTTGCTGCATATAACGGGGAGAACGGACATTTTTACACAGACAATAAAAAGCATCACATGTACCCATCATCAGTAGTGTCTCATGTCAAAGTAAAAAGAAAAGCCACGACGACCTCTTTACACAAAAACACCAAGTATTTAAAAACAAAACAAAGAAATGGATTCACCGCTTGCATTTCACACGCTTCTTATTTGCTCAGTGTGCACGATATCACCGACAGGGTCATGGCTAAACTCGTCAACCATCTCACTAAACGACGGCAACGTTTCATCTGACGTCTGATCAAAAAAAAAAAAAAAAACAGTAAAATTTCTTTTCAAGACTGCGGTCTGTTGCGTCTCATCTCACAGTGTTCATCAATATGACACAATCTATCAACAAATAAATTAGAAAAATAATAATAATAAAACCATCCCAAACATTTTTCCCTGCCACGTTTCAAACGAACACCAGGACATCCATTGTGCGACACACACACACACACACAAGCACGCACGCACGCACACACACAGAGGAAGCTACAGACGAGTGCAACTCATTTTTGTTTGTGTGCCATGAAAGCTGGCTGATGATGCTCACTTACCAAATGACTGATCTTTTGTTTTAGTCTAATGAACTACAGCCTGCACCAGAAGACATCACATGCTAGTAGTTCAGACACCATTTACACACAAACACACAAATAAAAACAGTGCGTCAGCCTCCCCCCTACCCCCCCTCGCCTTGCACACAGCAACAGATAATGCAAAAAGAATGCGAGGCGGTAAGTTTGAAATCTGCAACGTACTCGACTCCTCTGGAAACGTTTAGTTTGTCACAGAACAAACTGATGATGATAATAATAATAAAAATGGTGTCACTGTACATTAGTAGTAATTCCTGCCCTGGGAGATGAAAAGAAGAAGGTGGAGTGTTATGATATTAGCACCCGTAGTGCTGTTGTGTGTCGTCGACCGTGGAGAGGAGCGTTGAGATGAGACGAGGGGTAAAGGGACCCGGGGGTGGGAGAGTGATTTTCAGTAGTTTTGGCTAAAAAGGTGAGGTAGGCCTTGTCACAACTTGGAGTGTGGCTTTAAAACTGGCAGGGTTTTCACTTGCAGTCTTGTCTTTAGTGTTTGTTTCCTATGTGGGAGTGTGACCGGGCATGTGCGTCTCCAGCGCGTCGTTTTATTTCGCCGCCTGGCCGCTCACATCTTGACGTCCTCCTCCACACTGAGCTGGGACAGAGTCTTCTTGATGCGCAGAGCCGTCAGCCTGGCCGCTCCGTTGGCGTACCAGCACTCCCGCATGATCTTCCCCATCACACGCAGAGACTGCACAGCAGAGGACACGCCCGTTAAGGTCACAAATCACCAGACCCTTCACTACATTTAAAATTAAACCAACTTCACAAATTTTTTATTTTTATGGTTTTAAATCAAAGTCCTAATGAACAGGCTGTAACAAGAACAAAACGCCCCCCAAATTTCTCTAAGTTGAAAACTGACACACACACACCTGTCAGGTAAATTTATTACTGAAGATGTTCCTTACAGGAGTCTGTGTTGCTCATTTATTTCAAACAAACTGGACTTGGTGCTGAATTCACAAGCTGAGAAAATTAAAGTTCGAACTTCCCGTTATCTTGTTTGAGACGAGAGGAAAAAAAGAGTTGAGGGGGAAGTGAAAAAAGTAAAACTACTTTGTACGAATACCCCTTTTCCATAAGTACCAGTACAGCACGTGTCAACTCGGCTCTGTTCCAAGGTTTTTCCACTAGCAATTATTTGTGGAACGTCCCCTTTTTCAGTCCCTTTGTCTCTGGAGTTCCAGCCGTACCCAGCTGGCCTTAAAATGTGACGTCAGAACACTGTCGGTCACAGACTGGTCAGGAGGTGGAGTCACTGGTTGTTTGAGAAACTTTCACAACAACTCGATCTGCCATTTGCATGAACTCAAACTCGAGGAGCGACTGGACCTATGTTAAATATTTTAAAAACAATAATGACAACACCGTGGTCTAATGCTCAAGTGCAGGCGTTTTTTGTGCTTGGTGGCGGATGACAAAATTCAGAGCGAGCTAGATGGAGCTCCGCCGGTCACCACGGAGAATCCTCCGTGCTGCCGACCAGCAGGAGCGCGTGAGGCCAATTTTTAAAAACATTTTCTGCATAAAAAAAAATAATGTTTTTGTTTTTTTAATCAGTGAAGATTTAAAAAAAAAAAAAAATCCTGTTTTCACTTTAACGACTTTATAAAATAATCTGTTAAAAGATAAATGAGCTGAAAAAAATCATTAAAAAAAAAAAAAAAAATTATTGGATCTCTCAGGAATTTTCCCACAGATATGTTTAAAGAAGAGCTACAGCCTTTAGTTCAACTTTATTCTAACCCACAGATGTACAAATCACAAAACAAGAATCAAACTTTAAAGCAAAGCTAAAGATAAAAAATTTGAACAAGAAACAAAACCACACATCTAATTGAACAATAAAAGTAAACACAATATATATATATATATATATATATATATATATATATATATATATATATATATATATATATATTTGCCAAGTCTTTGTGCGACTTAGTTCGCTGTGGTGACCCCTAACGCAGGGAGCAGCCGAAATAATAATAAAAAAAATGTTTTATTAATTTGATCATTTTAATAATCTGTATTCTTTTTAATTTTCCAGAAACTTCAAAAATAAATCCTCACCCTGTACTGAAACCTGTTTCAGGGTCTTACCACCAGCTGTTAAGGCGCATGACGTTAATTTTTGAACTCTGAACCCGCCCACTAGAGCCATTATGGAGTGTATGGAAAACCAGCTGTACCGTGCTGTACAGGCACTAGTGAAAGAGGCATAAGTGCCCTCCATCTTTTCTTTACTCAAGCTGATCATTATTAACTATGTAAACTGCAGAGACAGGAATAAAGTATTTTTCTAACTGCCCTGGCTTCCTTTGAATCCAAAAAAAGAAAGAAATAGATTTTGGTGAACCTCTTGCTGTTGGACACTAAAGAGGATATCTAAATTAAGGCAATACATTTTTATTTCCCTATAAAACAGAACATATTGTACCGCAACATTAATTATTTTAAAGCCTGTTAGCATATTTTTAGTCATCAGTGCAATAAACTCAGCATGAAATACCTCATAGCTCTGCCACCAGTTAGGCACGTTGGGCCTCAGTTTCTGGTCACAAACCACCTTCCTCATCTCCTCTATGGAGGGGTCGGAGGGCACAAGGTCATAGTAGGGCAGCTGGTACTCTTCGTGAATACCTGCAGTGCAAACAGGAAAGGTCAGCTTCTGGTTTCACGTTTCTGTTCGAGGTTTTACTCTTTGCTGCCGTGTCTGCTCTTACTTCCTGTGTTGCAGCGACGTGCGATCTCCCAGTACACCAGGCCGAGTGCATAAATGTCAGCGCACTTAAAGGAATCAAAATGTTTCATGTTGATGGTTTCGTCCAGGACTTCAGGAGCCATGTACCTGGATGAACGTATATGAGACTTTTTAACTGTGCGATCCTCAAAAAACAAAAACAAAAATATTCAAAAATATTTTAATGATTATTGGTTTAAAATTTAAACGGACTTAAAATTCTTAAACCGTTTCAGGCTGGGCACCTTTTGAAGGGTTTATATCACTGTATAATATTCAAAGCACTTTCTTCTCTCTCGCAAGATCGTCTAAATTTAAAAACAATGAACATCTGGTAAAAAAGAAATGATGCACCCCTCAGCACTTTCACTTTGTCTCTGTGCAAACAATGGTTGAAGACTGTACTGCAGTTTTTACTACGTACATGAGATTTGTGGAAGGATTAATACAAGAATCTGCCGGCTAAGCCTTTAAAGTCTTAGGAAATACCTGCAAGGTTCAGAATGTGCCGATGGGTATGGAAACATTTACCTCTTAGTGCCCACACGCTGGTTGGGAGCTATATCGATTGTGTCTGTGATGGACTCATGGCGGACTGCCAGTCCAAGGTCAGCTATCGCGCACGTGCCGTTCTTCTTAACAAGGATATTTTTAGATTTGAGGTCACGGTGAGCAATGCCTGGCTTACCTGCAGGGGAAAGGATAACAATTCATTGTGTTTGCATTAAGAGCAACAACGGGCTGTGTTGCTGTATTAATTTATCATTTTTATTTAATTCAGTTACTGCTCATCTCACCCTGAGTGCCGAGGATCTCCATGTGCAGGTGTGCCAGGCCGCTTGCAGCCGAAAGTGCAAGCTTGATCATACCCTCGATGGTGACGGAGTAGCGGTTCAGGTAGTCAAAAAGAGAGCCATGCTCGTGATAGTCTGACACCAACCACAGCTGAGTCCATGTGCCGTTATCTAAAGAACAAAATCGCTCTGTTACTGCATCCGTTACTGGAGCTGCTTAAAATCATATTTCTGCTCATTACCAAAACAATTAGCACTTTTCTGTCTTTTTTTTTAAAGAGAACTGGATTTCCTGTTTCAGACAGCGGTGCAATGTACGTCTTCAGTTAAAGGAAAATAAATAGGAAAGTCACCTGAACCCACAGATTTCCTCACCTTTATTGTCTGCTGCAATGAATCCTAGAATGTTTTCGTGCCGAAGCATGATTGTCTGGTAGATCTCAGCCTCTCTGAACCAGGAGCGCTCCTCTCTTGATGAGAAAATCTTCACTGCCACGTCTCCTCCTCTCCACTTCCCTCGCCATACCTCCCCAAAACGACCTTTTCCTATTATCTCCTGCAGTACGATGGTCCTGGCCACCGTACGCTGAACAAACAGGGGCAACCCTGCAGGGAGTGTTGGACACACAAAAGATCGGTCTTCCCATGTACTTTAAAGATGTAAACATGTGGCACATTAAAAACTTTACTGTAAATCACTGACCTGATCCTGATCCAGAGGTGGACAAGTCATAAATGAGGTCCTGCAGGGTCTTGTCCTTGGCTAAATAGAGATGATCACAGGAAGGATCCTCCACCTCCAGCCTCTGTCTGTGGCTGTAAGCTCTCTGATGATAGCAAAACCAAAACAAGCCAACTAATAAGAGCACGGCGAGCAGGAACACCGGAACCGCAATGATCGCCACCAGCTCCACTGGTCCCAACGTGCTTCCAGAGCTCGACCAGGGTCCACTCTTCGTTGGGACTGAAAAGAAAAACAAAACAAACAGGAGAAAAGACGTTTAGTGTAAAATCAGACCGCCGTGACCAAACTGAACGGCGCTTGATGAAGGCGGTTCACCTGGGACTTTCAAGTCAATGCTGTTGCAGTAATCTACGTAGCAGCAGTGAGTGTTCATGTAGCCATCAGCACTGAGACAGTAGATGGGGTGTCCAGCAGGAACCAGTTCGTCGAGGCTGATGCAGACACGCACGTGCTCCTCCTTCCCATGTACCATGTAGGTAGAGGCCATGCAGGCGCCATCTGTCTCGCACTCAAAGCCTGTTTGCACACAGTTTGTGCAGTTACAACGTAAAGCTGGAAGAAAGCAAAAAGAGTGTTCAGGAAAAAGGTTAGGACATGAAATAAAAAAACTTTTCTTGACCAGCAGAGGGCGAGCTTACTCTAAACCCTAATCATGAAGTAAGCCCCATTAAACTGTCAGTATTTTATGATGTGTAGGTCAGCAGGAGCAGCCAGACGGCCCCGGCGGCCCTGAAATCGGATCTCTTACTGCAGATGAACCCAAACACGCAGGGTGGAGAGACAAACCCACCCAGGGGGATGCACAACGTGAAACCCAACAAGGAAAGAAGGCTCACGTCAAATCCCCAACGCAGCAAGCTGCTTCATTCCCTCCTTCTGTCTTTCTCACAGGGACACACAAGAGCTGCCTCTGTTGAAGCTAATAAAAACAGGAGATCCATTAAACGCAGAACGCTCCCGTGCATTCAGATGTGACACAAAGAAACTTGTGCCAGAATGAAACTACACTGTGAAATCAGCTCAGTACCAGGAGGTCTACACCGATCTGCAAGATCTAAAACAGGAGGAGTACTGGAAGGGCGACTCAGAACGCAAGAAAGCTACAAACTGATTTGATTTAGACTAAAATGTGATTTAGTCATCGAACACACGCTTCTCATTTAGAGTAAGGTCAACACAAAGAGCTCTTCTGCTACCACAGTACACAGGGTAGCAGCCGGTTGGATGGGTTATGGAATGACAAGTATTTCTTTTCTTTCAAAAATGGACAAACAGAAATGACATAATGTTTTACCAAACATAACTTGAACTGGTCTGTAGCGGAAATAAACATGGGAACACTTCAGCCTTAATCTCTAGAGAGGATATACATTAAAAAACAAAGAGGAGAGGAATTTCAAACCTCATTTTTCAACAAAAAGGACTTGGCACCGAAAGTCTCTGGCCACGAGGAAAGAAAGGATTTAAAGACTGGCAAGACTCCACTAATCCTGTGTCTTGTATTCTTGAACAAGTTCTCTTTGGTGTCTATAAAAAATGTCAGCTGATTTAACAAAAATAAAATACAGAAACCGAATTATTAAGAATTTTGTAAACAAAACAAACAAACAAAAAAAAAAAACACTAAAAAAAATGTCTGATTCATGGAGTGCGTCAAGAGGAAATAACAGCAAAGTGACCAAAACCACAAACCCTGGCGTCATAGGAGTAGTTTCCACTAAACTAACTTCTTGAAAAGTTGATTTATGTGTTGGAGGACTTTTTGGATTCTGTGTGTGTGTGTGTGTGTGTGTGTGTGTGTGTGTGTGTGTGTGTGT